CATCGACGCTGCCCTCAGACACCACATGTGGGAGGAGGAAAGAAAGAATTGGCGACAGGGCTGGCAGCCGTTGCTCAACTTCTTCCTTATCATCGGGCTATTCCTCATGTTGCTTACCTGGTGGCTTTACCGGACGCCCTCGGAGCAGTTGCCTCAGTGTGGTGGACAGGCGGTCCCGTACAAGATCCACAAAGGTGATACGTGCTGGGCTATTGCAGAGAAACACAAGATGAGCGTGGAGGATCTGGTCAAGGCCAATCACAAGCTCAACTGCGACAAGCTGCAGATTGGAAGCTTAATATGTGTGCCGTTGATGATATAGACGGCGAGTATTGACTGGCGAGGATTGGATGCGCAGTGCTGTTGGATACCCGATCGGAAGAGTACGTGCATATACTTCGAGCCATTTCTTTTCTCCTGATTCGAAATGGGTTGGATAGCACCGGACGGCTCTGAGGCTGGGCCTGAGATTGGCTGTCGGAGGGAAAACGGAGGGTGGACTGAGGGCACTCGATAGATTGTGCAATTGGGAGGGATAGCAGCGGTGTTCGAAATGTCCGAATGGCCGGAGTTCACGGTTGCTTCGCAAAACTTCTTTCGACTCACGCATGGTGAAAGTGATGCTGGAACTACTATCTTAGTTGAGGCTCTAACAGTCTGCGACTCCACTTCACATGTAAGAGAGCAAGGTATCTGGCACTTGGTGTTGACTCAACATCGTGAGAGGAACCAGACCTGGTGCCTGGTACGCCATCGGGCGGTTGAAGGGGGGGGGGTTCTGCCACCTGACCCCGTTCGGCGCGGGCTGGGCGACGATCCAACGTGAGCTATCTACCTTCCCGGAGGTACCGGCACATACCCGGGCCCACTATCAAATTCTCATTGGTTAAAGTACCACTCCATACTGCGTCCAACCCATACCTTATGTGTACCTTGGTCGGGGAATCAGAAAACAAATGTGGCAGGTCAGGTAGGGTAGGAATCATTTAATGAACTTATCTTTGCGGTCGCCATCAAAAGTCACCGCCGAAGACCCTCCCTCACTGCGCGAATGTGCCCTCGGGAATTGGAGGCACGTACTCAGCATCAAAGTGCACAAGCTGGGACTGCGTCTTGCTTTCCGATTGATTGTGAGTCCACGTCGTCAGCATCAGCGACCATGCGGGTGGACCCTGAGGAGGGGTGGGAGTGCGGTGCCCAGTGTCTCCCGCTGTGCCGCTGCACCCAGCTGTGGTGCGGGCGCGGGTATCGGGACCACTGGGGGGCGCGCTGGGGATCCTGTGCGCCTTCGAGGTTTAGCGCTGTTTTCCCCGGAATCACAGCGTCTGGGGAAGTGGGTTTCAGGCGGGTCCCCTGTTGCCAATCGCCCCACAGTGGTCGTGTGTTTGCCCTGCTGTGCCTTCTCCCTGCCCGTCTTTGTTTCCATTGGCTGCAGCCGGCTCACCTCAGCACACCGACACCTTCAGAGTCCAGGCATATCATTCATGCAAACGGAAGAAGACTGATTTCAGCACGTCGCCTCGGACCTTCCTGGCCTGGGTGGTTCGTGTGGGGTGGCCTCGTGTTGTCTTTCCTGCGGGCGCTTTGCACTTTGGGGAGACACATCAGGGTCCCCTCGGTTGTGTTTGTTTCCATTCTAGCAGTCGACCCGTCTACCTAAGGTAGCGTACTTACCTTATCTACCTAGGGAGACGGGTCGACTCGAGCTCGCACGAGAAGCCACGGCAATGGCCAGTTTGGACAACATTCTGGTGCTCCAGAGGTGGCATGTTCGCTGAACCACCACCAGGAGGTACGCGCCGGTCAACGGTATCTGAATCGCTACTGACCAGGCCATGCTTGCGTCACTGATCTGCCCACACTCATGTCTGTAGCGTTGCACCAAGCGACTGACCTGCCCCTACACAAGCGCAGACAAAGGCATCGCCCCTGGTTTGCTTTTCGACTGGGTGTGCGTGCGTCTCCTCTCGCTCTGCTTGCTTTCCCTCGTTTGGACTCACCATACTCTCCTCTCCTTGCCCCTCTTTCCCTCGCCTCCTCGTTGGCCTGCGACGTATGGCTGGCTGTCCGCGTGATGATCTGGCTTACCCCGCACGCTCAAGACGGGTAGATGTCGAGGCGCTGCCCCTGAATCCGAGATTTCTTTAAGAAGACGCCATCTGCCTCGCAAGCTACGCTTTTAGACACCCGTCGTGCGACATGCCTTCATCCATCTAATCACCTCATCCATCTTTCAGACTCATTCAATCGCTGCATCCATCAACTTCAAGAAACGCATCAACCAACGCTGAGCCAACTGCAACGCTCACAACACCCCAACCACTTTCCACCAGGCGTAGTACTCCGGCGCCTAATATTGTTATCCTTTTTACCGTGACACATTGAAAGGTACGACCAGCATGGCTTTCCTCGATGCATCCCTCGACTCTATATCGTCGACTTTTGTCACCCACTGTCCGCCATACACTGTACCAATGCCACCTGTCCTTCTGGCTTGTTGTTAATCCGATTTCATTTCCTGCAGATTTCACAATGGCCCCGCGTATCCCTGCCGCAAAGTCCACCGAGACTCTCTGCTACGGTGTCGCCACTGTCGGTGCCTTTCTCCCCATCTACCTCATGCTGCCCGGCGCTGAGCAGCGTCTGGCCATGCAGACGACAAAGTGGGCTCCTCGCTGGGAGCGAAACATCTCGTACTTCACCCCGGCTGCTGAGAGGGGGATCAAGCGTGTTGAACCTCCTGTCTCCCGCATCGTCAAGCGCATCGATGACAGGCTACCTCTCGAGAAGATGGCCAAGGGCATTGACAAGCGCATCAAGAACGGCATCGAGCGCTTTAACAACACCAAGTAGGAATCTAAGCTGTTGGTGAGGGGGTAGCCACGCAGAAGTCAAGCCAAAGACTGTCTGTATACATGCATGTGGGAAAAGGAACAGTAGAGACACCGGCGAGGGGTAGGATGATACCACATCTGGCTCTAGAGATACAAAGGATGCATTAGAGATCTCATAAAATTCTCGGCAACAAGCAGAGAAACAAACAATAAAAAGGTCAAACACTCACCCGCTCTCTCTTTCCTGGTTTTGCAGAAAGCCCGGCGTAATCTGATTGAATTGACGGCAACGCCCAGTCCAACCGCATACTGTATGCCGCCGTCGGGAGCCGTAGTTTCATGGATTGACTGTGGGCATGGATACTTGCATTTCACTGCTACATCAATCTGCAGATGATCAGGCCATGATGAACAACTTAGACGGAGGGTGTCTCACTTACCCGAGCGGGGTTTCCCTTGATCCCCAATTATTTTCCTCCTCCACCGCGCCATTGCTCGAAGGTTAGCACTGCATTGTTGTCGGTAAAGGAAAGGAAAACGAAGCGGTATACAGGGGGACATGCAGCACCCAATTGGGCCGTTTGCAATTACGCAGACTCTCAAGCGAACTGCCATCGCATCCTGGTGGCACCATCCTCAGCTCGACAGCATGCGTCCAGGCCGTTCGATACTGCAAAAGTGTCTCGACAATTGCCGTGCGACACCTTGAGAGATGACCAGATCGACGCGATCTCGTTTCATTCATGACCCCGGCCTCCCGCTGTCGTTTCGTTGCAACTCTTTGGCAAAACTGGACCTGTACGCACTTGCATTTAGGGCCAAATCCCGAATGAGACGCCAGAAGCCCTGGTGCTCGATTCTGAACGCGCAATGGCGCCCTCGTCGAGATGCTGAAAGCAGGTGTTCACCCCCGCCCGATGATGCGGCATTTCCGTAGGTAGAAACTTCTGTGCCTTAGTTGAGCGATCGCGGTATAAATTGGTTTTGCCGTCCTACTTTCAAATTTCGAAATCGCCAAAGCCCAAGCAGTATGCCTAGTCGAGGGCCAATCGAAACGTCGATGAGCGATGGCCACTCGCGGCGTCGCTTAGACAGCCTATAAGGCCCACAAGAGGTATAGAAAGCCACTTGAATTCTGCTCAGGCAAGCACTGCTGGTGCTGGTATTTGATCGAGATGTAGTAGAGAGATGCTGAGTAATGCCAGACCTCATCGGTCACCGTCAGCTCGTGTGCCGAGCAAGTCGTGAGTGTCTCTCAATCTCCATAACAAGATCCCTCACCATCCAGGTTATCGGGGCTCTGCACCTTTGCAAGTCAGTATACCTAAGGTGTGAAGCGGAGAATCTACCCAGTGCCAAGTTTTCTGCCACAACTTGCCAGCAGGTACCGTCAACTGGTCGACAAGCATTCCGCGCTGGACTGACCCTGATGAGGGTGAGCGGGAAAAGCCTCACAAACGTGACCTTGCCAGCTATCATCAAATAACGATCCAGTGGCCGGCTCCCATGTATGGGACTTGTGACATTCCCAGCCATGCATCGTGGAGGGCCTGCTGGAGATGCTGAGACCGAGAACCAGACTCCAACGCCGGCAGCATGCGCGACTGCCTGGGCTGTTTCCTTGTTGCAAAATGCCCACAGCTATACGTGCTCGTGTACATGCTCGTCCAGCATATGGTTAACTGAGCTTTGGAGGAAACCCCCAACCGGCATAGCACGTCGTTGATATTGACTTCCTCAAGCGTAAAGGCCTTCAAAGCTCGTGACGGAAAAACCTGATCCACCTAGGTAAGCAACTCGGGCTGTCCAGTGTCTCCGATAACAGAGGCATGGCACCACCTGGCGCCAGCTGCGTCCACGGATCTAGGTGTCCAGCGGCATTTTTAGCTTGACGATAATCTCCAATGCATAAACTATCACGACGCGAACGCGCTCTTGCCCGAGCTAGAGTCGCATTCTGCGCCCATAATGCCGATCTGTTGACGGCGCAATCCAATTGACGGCACCACATCCCTGTCCACTCTTCTCCGTAGAGCGAGATGACTCTTCAACCGAATGCGAAGGGGAAAAAATTGTCGAGCTACACCAACCGCGATTTGAAACGAAACATTGCCGGCAACCTCGAGATCTTTTAGCTATTGTAACGATATTCTGACCATGGCTTTAATGACTCTCTCGAGACCGCTCACGAGCACCGCCTGGCGTGTTTTTGCCGCTCAGTCGCCGGTGACCCCGCGTTCCGCGGGGCTCCTGGCGGAACGATGCTATACGACTCGCGCAAAGACGGCCACGACTTCCACGACCACGACTGTCGCTGTCCCGAAGACCACCACAGCTGCAGCGGCAGCCAAGAAGCCGACGACGACAACGAAGAAAAGTGTCAGCACTGCGGCTGCCGCCACGAAGAAGCCCATCACCACAGTCGCCGCAGCCTCCAAGACAAGCGCTGCTGCGGCGCTCAAGACCGCCACGTCCACGAGCACAGCTGCAAAAGCCACGAAGGCTGTGAAGAAGACGACTGCATCCGCTGCCAACCTGACTACGAGGACGGCGGCGAAAAATACGACTGCAACATCCGCGATTGCGCCCAAGAAGGCGATCGCCGCGAAAACAGCCACCGCTGCGAAGGTCATTACCTTGAAGCCTGCCGCCGTTACAACAAAGCCCAAGATCGCCACGTCTGTGGCCGCTCCAGCAACATTGGTTAAGACACCTGCGACGACACCCTCAGCCCCTACAACGGCGGCACCTATCGCAAACCCCACCGTTCCGTCCGCGTCAACCATGTCTAAGGCTGCCCCGGCAGCATTTCCCACGCCGGTCGCGCATAAGGTTACGCCCACAATTGCCCATGCGCGGCCTGAAGCTCGTCAGACCACTCTGCCCCCTTCCGCGGCGACGGAGGCCCCAAAAACACCGGCCCCAGGCAGCAAAGAATACCGTAAGGCGTACGGCTCGGCGGCGAGGAAGTGGACCGCTACCATGGTCGCCATGCCCATCCTTCTCGTCACTTCATACTTCCTCTTCGATAGGCGTTAGTGTTATCCCTCTCCCAGCTGAGGAATGCTAGGTTATTGACTGACGTTGATGTAGTCGCTCTGGGGCACGAACCCAAAGTAATGCCGGATTTTGACAAGGCGAAGAAGCAGAACGCAGAACAGGCGGAAGCCGAGACGGCCTAGAATCCAGCTCAATTATAATGATCTTGATGAATACCCATTACCACTTCACCTCTCCGACCAGATGGCCTCTTCTGCGACTCTGTCTCGACTCCATACGGTGTATGTATTTCTTGGTCGCCTATGTTCTGGTTCCCCAAACCTGTGAACCCCCGTGGCAGCTCGATGACGCGACGTTTCATGGCAGTTTGACTGCCGACCCATCCACTGTATGTGTCACGGCGATCATGTTTGGGTGTTTGTCTGTGAGATTGGCTCAATACCTCGAATGAGCCATTCCCCTTCTCTTCCAACTACCAAGAGTTCTTAAGTGCAAGGTAGACAGCCAACCCCATGAGTGCAACAACGCATACGCCACCGACAACTATACCAGCAACGGCTCCTCCGCTGACGTACCCTGTGTTTGGTGTGCTGGTTTTCTCTGCAAATACCCCAGCGCCCAACAAACTCCATATCAAGAGCAGTGGCAAGATTGTGCTGACCATGATGGCTTCTGGAGCTCGGGAATTGTGAAAGTGGTGTCTAAAGCTTCCGCATCCGCACTCAAGGTCGTTTGTGCGTGGCTTTATAAGAGCGGTGACGAGACCGTTGCTCTTTTCTGATTCACGACGTGCAGTAAGCATCAGACGAGCCCCTCATTGACTGTCAAGACATACCTGGGAAGTCACCGCCTTCGATTCATCACCCAGTGAACGTCACGATTAAGGTGAAGGAAGGAAGGAAGCAGATTGATGCAATGTCTGATGTATAAATAGAAGGCTATGTAAGTTACTCGTTTACAGCTAGTATTGTATCATCGCTGAAATGCTCAGAAACAGTAGCTCTCTCCAACACAGCATCCATCATAGGCGGGCCATCTCTTTAGCCGGCCCAGGCTCAGCATTCTCCGGCTTGCCACTGAAAGAAACAAGACTTCTACCCTTGACCGTTCCGCTCCTAGTCAGAATCTTTCGCTTTCCGGCGGTGGTCAGGGGTGGATCATCATCCTTGTCCCTGATGTAGTAGGCCCAGTCCGAGGTGTCATCAAGCTCCGTCTGGGAGTACCCATTGCCCAACCACGAAAAGCGATTGCCGGCGTACTTTACATCGAGGTCGTCAAATCGAACTTCCTTGATAGCTTCAATGTAATGAAGTGTCGAGCCGGGCCACAACGCCACAACAGGCCCATCGGCCCGCGGCTTGTACCACGAACGGCACGGGTCTGCCCATACCGTCTTGGTCATGAACCACTCCTTGTACTCGACAAAGTCCCGCACAGCCTCCTCCTTCGCAACGAACTCGACAATGTTGTTCGTCTGGTACCGATCCACAATCTTAAGCATCCAGTCGGCCTGTGCCTCTATTGCGGACAGGACGGGGCCGTTGCCTATGGGACAGTTGGGGCCAAGCATATGGAAGTAATTTGGGAAGCCAGACGCGGCCATCCCAAAATATGATTCCGGATTGACGGCCCATTTATCTTGGAGGTTCTCACCCGATGGAGCGACAACGGGGAAGCGCGGCTTGAAGGATGTATCGAAACCGGTGGCGCAGATGAGGATGTCAACAGGGTACTCTTGGCCGTTGTCACTGACGCACCCGCGCTCAGTTACCTCGGTGATCTCGCCGTATACCACTTCGACATTGGGCTTTGTGAGAGACTCCAGGTAGTTCACACCAGGGGTGAGACGGCGGCAGCCAACGCTCCACTCGGGGATGAGTTTGTCCTCGAGGTAGGGGTTGTTGAGCTTTTCCTTCATTTGCTGAAGCATGTATGCGTGCGTCTCCTGATTGATCTTGTTGTTCTTCAGAAAGATCCCGAACTGCCCGTTGAGGCCAGATTCAATGTTCTTGCGATATTCCATCAACGCTCCAGGCTTCTCGCGGAAATCTTTCAGCTCCTCGGGGCTGAACTGGTGCTGCTCGAGTCCTTGGACAGGAGACACCCACGTCGGTTCGCGAATGAAGGTCGTCACCTTGTGACACTTGTCGCGTATTGCGGGCAGTACCTGAATACCCGAGGATCCATTGCCGATGAGGCCGACATGCTTGCCTTCCAGGGAGACGGAGTCATCCCAATTGGCTGTGTGTAGGAGGGTGCCTTTGTACTTTTCAAGTCCAGGGATGGCAGGCCACTTCCAGTTGTTCAGGATGCCGCCAGCATTGACGAGGACGTCGCAATGGTCGACGATAGTGGTGCCCGTCTGCGTATCCTTCACGTGGACATCATAACCCCCCTCCCTGGGGTTCCAAAATGCCCCTAATACTTGGTGCTGCAGCTTGATATACTGGTGCAGCGAGTACTTCCTTGCAAAGCTCTCGAAATACTCTCGAATCTCTGGCGCCGGCGGGTATACGGCTGACCAGTCCAGCTTAGGCTCGAAACTCCAGGTGTAATTGTGCGAAGGTACATCGCAGGCACAGCTGGGGAACGTCCAGAGTTAGTTGGTACGTCAAAAGGCGATGATAAGATTTGGCAAACCCTGGATATCTGTTTTCAAACCATGTACCACTGACTGCTTGGTTCTTTTCGTAGCATACTAAGGAGTAGTTGTGGAAGTGTTTCTGCAGCTTGTACGCCATCAACAAGCCGGAGGCGCCGGCGCCCACGCAAATTACCCGAACATGGCGTTCGCTATGAATGGGTGCCGATAGCCTTCTAGTCGCATCCCGATCTCCGGGTTGCGCGGTCTGAGTGAGCAAGAAGTCTCCCATGGTTGAACCACCTTTCGGCGAGTGAGCGTGCCGGGAGTCGACAAAACGGAAGATGCCGAGGCGAACGAAAACTGACAGAAGTCAAGGAAAGAAGTCAGATGGATCGGAGCATGGTCTGTCAAAGAACGGCGAGACTAAAGGGTTAGCTGGATGGCTGCTGATATAGGTCATCTGGGAGGTTCGGCATCGCATATCCCAACGTCATGACCGATGATTGCACAACATTTTCCGGTAGAGAACGCAATAAAGCCAATGGCATCTGGAAGAGTGCCATTATCGGCCTCTCAGATCCTCGACGCCACGAAAGAACCGAGAGAAACTACGGAACATGACCCACAAACGGTTTTCAAACAGACGGAGTGGACCACTTGTCCTGGGCGGGGGCTGCTGGGCGGCTTGGAGGACGGCCGATTGCATGGCCTGCCGCATGTGTGCGGGCTCACTTGGGCGTGTGACTGGAGTGTGAGTAGCAGGTTGGATTCGCTGCCATCGGCATTGGTAGCGATCTCAACCATCTCGAGTCAGGGGATCTCGTGAGAGAGCACGGCTCTTGTCAGGCAGACAAGACACCATGACTCAGTGGGAACGAGACTTGGAGTGAAAACAAGTCATGTTTGAGGTGATGGCACCGCTTGGGCCAAGATTCCCAGAGACCAGACGAAGGCCCCAAGGCTTGACTGTGGCCGATTGGCATTCCGAACCTACAGTAGCAACTGCAAGCCTACCGCATCAAGATCCCACCGTGAACGCCACCGGTATGATTAGGAGACTTTGACAAGGCGGCAACACTTGATGGCATGGGTGAGATGTTCCTCGGCAGTTAAGGAGGGGGTGGTTGTAGTAGAATGCACGGCGGCTTCCCGGGATGCAATGTTTATCCCGTAGCGTGGCAGGCGACGATGAAGCCAGCTTGCTGGAGATAGAAACCCCGGGCCTGGTCCCCGTTGCTTTAGTGATTGACTTTCGTGAGACTGTCGTCGAGGATGCGGATGAAGAGGTGCGGAACCGGCAGAGCGGGGGCGGCAGGTCATGGGCTGGGCAGCAAAAGCAACGGGACGCAGCCGGGAAACCTCAACCGGAGGAGCTCGGGCCAATATGGAGAGGCGATGGACACTTGACGTAGTAGTCAACATTGGATGCTACCCGTTGGTTCCAATGCACATCCCATGTCAGATAGGCGATGAGTTCAGACGGGGTACGGCGTCCGTCATGCTGCTAAATCCGAATCTCGCCTTCGGTGAGGGGTCGAATGTCGCATCTGACCGTTGAGTTACCTAACCTCAACGTTGACGATCGAGGCGACGAGTTGCTTCCCCGGGCGAGTAAGCTGCTCGTTAGGGTCTCTGATTGGGTTTGACGGCTGGTCTCTACAGGCCTTTCCTCAAGCAAGAGCTAGTGTCTGCACGTAATCAACACCCAACGCACCGTCTGAAGTTTGATGGTAGCGTCTTTGACGATTATTGGCGAGGCTCTAGACAAAACACGTCGCTATGCGTGGGGTTACACAAAGATCTTGCTGTGTCCCTGGAAGCTTAGGAACACAACTCTGTGGACAAATCGGTATTCTACAACCTTGCTTTGGCGCTCTTCGTATCTGCCAGTGCCGCAGCATCCCTCTTGGACCATTCACGCATAGTCTTCCTCTGAATCTTGCCGCTTGCAAGTTTGGGCACTTCGTCCACAAATGCAACGCCGCCCGCTAACCATTTATGCTTGGAAACCCGGGGCTTGACCCACTCCTGTATGTCTTCGGGCTTGACTTTACCCCTGGACGCCTCTTGTATCGCCACGTAAGCTTTCGGCCATTCGTTGCCATCGCTGATCTGCGTTAATGATGTTTCAAAGATTCAGGAGACCTTATTCAGACGTACATGACAATTCCAACGACGGCCGCATCTGCTATGTGCTCATTTTCGAGAAGAACAGCCTCCAATTCTGCAGGAGCGACCTGCAGAGCATTGACTTTGATGAGCTCCTACTTTCATGTTAGACTGAACACCGGATGAGATCCTCCAAGCCATGGTAACACTTACCTTTTTGCGGTCTACAATCCAAAAATAACCATCTTCATTACATATGGCGATGTCACCCGTCTTCAGCCAACCCTCGCTGTCAAGCGCCTCTTTCGTGGCAGCCTCATTTCGCCAGTAGCCCAGGCACACATTCGGTCCACGAACACACAGCTCGCCCGGCAGACCAAAGTCTACCTCTCTGCCTTCTTCATCAACCAACTTGCATTCGCAATTGGGATCGAGCCTGCCGACGCTGCCTGTATCATCTCTTATGCCGCCAGGCACATGGATAGCGCCGCACGTCACCTCCGTCATGCCCCAGCCCTGATTTATCTGAATTTTGAACCTCCGTTGGCACTCATTCTGAAGCTCTCGGGACAATGGGGCTGCTCCGCAAAGCACCTCATTCACGCTCGAGAGGTCGTAGCGAGCCGTCTCAGGCCGCTTCGAGAGCATAACCAGTATTGGTGGCGCTACCTGCAGACTGGTGATTCTATACTTGCCGATTGCGAACAGGAAGTCTTCATATCTAAACTCCTTCATGATGTAGACGGGGACATGGAGTTTGGCGGCCATAAGTATGACGTAGAGCTGACCATAGGCATGGTATAGTGGAAGAAAGCCAACCCATCTCTCCCGAGGGCGTGCGTCGAAGGCGTAAGGTTTCTCTGCGTATCGCATGAATATTGTTTGTTCGACGTTGGCGATGAGATTGTGGTGCGACACGCATACTCCTTTGGGAAGACCGGTTGTCCCGGAGCTGTAATTGATCGTGGCCACAGTCTTGGTAGACTCTTCAGGGCTCAGCTCCGGCCATTGATACGAGTCCGCCTCCGTTGGCGTCCCAATCATGCGCCTCCAGTCGGGAATGCCACGCCTAGTCTCGTTCTCGGCGTCAGAAAATTGAAAGATCCGACCTTTTGGGACTCCGGCTTTGGCTGCTGCCTCAAGCACCTGTTGGAGGTGATTGGGATGTGCTAGGATGAGCTTGGCGGTAGTGTTGGTCATCTGGTGAACGAGTTCTTTCAGATGTCAGCTCATACCCCTTTCCGCGTAAAGGGGAGACCCACCAGATACCGTGTAAGCCGGGTTGGCGCCACTGAAGACGCATCCCACTCCTACGATCCCAAGGTATGCTACAGGCACATATATCTGGTTTGGAGTGCAAATCATGACAACATCTCCGTGCCGGAGGCCTAGTCGTTCTAAACCGAAGGAGAGGCGTTTCACCCACTGTTCCATTTGTCTGGGGGAGAGGCTGATACCCTCATCTTTGCAGTCGATCCACAGGGGCTCGTCCGATAACACCCCATCCCGAGGGAACAAATACGACAACAGGTTTGTCTTGGGCAATTCCAAAGATGGGTAAGGTGACGTGATGACCATGTTGAATCGGTGCTTGCTCTGAGGAATCGAAAACCCGACCTTGTAAAGAACTGAATGGCGATAACAAAGTTGCCGGGAGGGCGGGCTTGTGCGTCTTCAATTGAGGGAGCTGGTTGACGGTCTGTGTTTGTTTCACCCGATGAGAAAGGAATTGGGAATTATCATGATACTAGAGAGACGGCGTTGGCATGGCAAACCGTCATCTTGGCCGTGTGCTCCCTCGGGATGGCGTCGGTAGCGGGATTGCGGGGTAGGAGTTGGGGAAGTCTGGGGTAGCTACCCCTACATCCTCCTGGGTACTTGGGGAGCTCCCTTGGAATAAACCCGACGCGGCCGATGCTAACCACGGAAAAGGCTCTGGCAAGCCGAGGAGCACCACATGTTTGGAGGTCCCATGCTGACAGACCTCATATTGCGAGGGTCTGGACGTGAGAGTGCCTGGGCGATCACCCATGTCTCTATCCAGAGACTCATGCTCGTTCGCTCTCTTCTCGAGCCCTTCAATCTGCAGAGACTTTGTTCCCAATTAAACATGTCCGAACTCAAGAACCTTAGATACGCCTTCTCCCTCGAAGGGAAGACGGCGCTCGTCACTGGCGGATCTCGCGGCCTTGGCCTCCACATGGCCACAGCATTCCTACTCGCGGGATGCTCTCAGGTCGTGATCACGGCTCGAAAACGCGGCGGCGATCAAGGCATTGACCAGGCAGTTGAGAAACTGAACAGAATTGCGGGAATTGAAGGGAAGGCGACAGGCATAGCCGCCAACGTGGCTGACTCGCAGGACATCGTTCGTTTGATTGGTGAAGTCAAGGATGTCGTTGGTCGCAAAGGCCTGAATATTCTGGTGTGCAACGCCGGAGCAGCCTGGGGATCCAAGTTTGAAGATGCTCCGCCAAGCAGCTCAGTCAAAATCCTGGACCTCAATGTGCGAGGCGTGTTCGAGCTGGTGCAAAAGTGAGAGCGAAGAATCGGTCGACGAAGCCGGACCGGCTTGCTGACATGGCGACAGGTCGCTTCCGCTGCTCGAATTGGCGGCGTCGAAGGAAGACCCGGCTCGGGTGCTGATTGTCAGTTCGACAGCGGGTAACAATGTGCCGCATGTAGGGGAGCACGGCACTATCATGTATTCCACTTCCAAGGCGGCTGCGAATGTGAGTTGGGTATCTGACGATGGTGAACCTTGCTGATGTGTAATTGCCGCAGCATCTCGGTCGCAACCTGGCGGTTGAGCTCGGGCCGAGAAACATCACGTCCAACATCATCGCGCCTGGCTTCTTCCCATCGAAGCTGGCGCAGGGCCTCATTAGCAATCTGGGCGGCGTGGAAGAGCTCAGCAAGGACAATCCTCTGGGCAGACTGGGTGAGCCCGATGACATAGCAGGCGTGGCGGTCTTTCTCTGCTCGCCTGCGGGCAAGTACGTGTGAGTATTCGTGCCCCTTCTGGCGATGGATGACGACGGGCAGAAGAAGCTGATGGATGCTTAACAGAAACGGCGTCGACATTCCGGTTGACGGAGGTGCACGACTGGCTGCAGGGAGGATGTCCAAGATCTGACCCTACCTACGGATACCTACCTAGGGAGGCATTTTGGAGACGGGAACACGTAACTGATGGCGGGTGCATGGGTTTCTTCAGGTAAGGTAGGTAGGTAGGTAGGTACCTTAGTTTCGGTCGGTAGGTCGGTGCACCTGGCGGGGTCGAGTCGGGCCTCGACATACAGTGTGTATAAGTATCATGGCCAATTCTAGAGTAAATACACACGGTACAATTTCGCCTCTGCTACCTGGGCTTCTCATAATGAAGGCACCTAAGATTAGGTAGGTACGTACAGTGTACGTTTGAGGTGGAAATCTCCACTGAAACCTTAGCGACCAACTTCACCAATCTTTTCATTCGTTTCTTCATTTCTTCATTCCACCATAACTAAGGCACCTATGTATCATCCATCACACGCTTCTCCTTCCGTTGCTGCAACGCACCCTTCCATCAATCAGTACGTCAAGTTCACCATGACCGTCTTCGGCTCTGTGAAGGCTCGCAACGCGTTGATGGCGTTCTCGCGTCCCTGACCGCTCTGCTTGCTTCCGCCGAAAGGTGCCGTCAAGAAGCAAAGGCTGACACAATTGATGCCGACCATGCCACTCTCGAACTCGGACGCCACTCTCAGCGCCTTGTTGATGTCCTGCGTGAAAACGCCAGCCATAAGCCCGTACTCCGTGTCGTTGGCTTTGGCGAGCACTTCCTCTTCTGTCTCGAACTTGTGGATCACAGCCACCGGCCCAAAGATTTCCTGCTTGTTGATCTCAGCATCCTCTTTGCCGGCCTCAAACACGGTCGGCTGCACAAAGTACCCCTTCTCGCCAACCCGTCCCCCTCCAACCAAAAGCGTACCCTGCCCCTGTTGGCCTCTCTCGATGAAGCCTCTCACTCTCTCGAATTGCGCTTTGTCAACAAGGGGCCCAATCACAGTTTCCGCCTTCTCGGGGTCACCGACAACCTTGATCTTGTCCTCCATCGCCTTCTTGTAGCCTGCCAAGAACTCATCGTATATCGATGACTCGACGTACACACGGCTGGCCGCAAAACATACCTGCCCAGTGTTCATGGTAATGGCGTTCGCACACCAGGTGATGGCATTCTCCATGTTGCAGTCTTCGAAAACCACCGCCGGAGACTTGCCGCCTAGCTCCAGTGTGACGCGCTTCAGATTGCTGCTGGCTGCCAACTTCATGATCGTGCGCCCCGTCGTCGTCGATCCTGTGAAGCTGACTTTGCGCACTTTCATGTGGCTAGCGAGAAGAGCCCCGGTACTGCCGTCTCCTGCAACGACCTGGAACACACCTGGTGGAAAACCAGCCTCTTTTATGAGACTGCCGAGTGCCAGGGCCGCAAAAGGCGTCTTTTCCGATGGCTTCAGGATGAAGCAGTTGCCAGTCGCTAGTGCCGGACCAGCCTTCATACCGATGTTTCCGATGGGCCCGTTCCAGGGAATGATGCCGCAAGTTACCCCAAGTGGTTCGTTGCGCACGATCTTGAGGAACCCGTCTTCTTGCGGATACGTCTCTCCGGCAAACTTATCGGTCCAGCCGCCAAAGTACTTGAGGCATTCTACCGACAGTTGGAGTTCAAAGGTGCCGAAAGACTCAAAGGGTGCCCCGAGCGTGAGCCTATTCATCTCTGCCAAGGCCGGTCCGTTCTTCTCAAGCAATTCCGCGAGTTTGAACAGCATATCGCGGCGTTCGTTGGGTGGTGTCTTCTTCCACTTCGGAAAGGCAGCCTCTGCTGCCGCTACCGCAGCATCGACATCTTCTTGCCCGCCGAGAGCGACGTTGTTGGCAACCAGAGACTCGTCCTTTGGGTTGAAAAGCTCAAGCTTCCTGCTATTCTTCGAATCCACGTACTGCCAATGTCTTAGTCAGATGCATCGGCCTCAGGGGCAAGCGCCTCTTACTTCATTGTTAATGAAATGTTGCTTTGGAAGATTGTCTTTGTTCCAAGAGAATGCAGTTTTCTGGCCGTCCGTGGCTTCGTTTGATGAAGTCGTGAAAAGAGCCATGTTGAAGAGTGAGTCAACCGCTTTCTACTGTAAGCCAGTTGATTTGTTGACCGACTAGAAGCATGAGATCCAGGGTCGGGCGTCAGCGATATTTTCAAGGATCACAGTGGTCGTATGTCTTCCTGTTTCCCTACGATGCGGGCAAGAGTTACCGACTGGCGTAAATGGGGAGCAGATGCATTCTCCTATGTGCTCATTCGTTCCAGCTCCTTTACGAAACCTCTCGTTGCGTCTGTAGTGAGGGGTCTGCACCTTCTGATGTGATACGAAAGACATCCGGCTGCAAGACGAACTTGGCGCCGCGCGAGGTCGGCTTCTCAGGTACTGATGGTTCCACGGTAGTCCGCGGCAGACGTCACCTACCTAGGTCCATGACAGCCAACGGCCGTCCAACCGCACAGTGAGACGACTGCAGGCACCATGAGCTGGCTATCGATTTCCTGTTGAGTCATGAAGCCAAGAGAGCCTTGTCAATCTGACTCGGGGCTCGGACGTGATGAAGCTCCCGCGACGATCAAGCGATACCCAATACCCCCCGCATGGGCTCCCGCTCAAGGTGGGGCATACCAACGTGGTGGAGGGGGGTGAATCTGGAGACCAACAGTATAGAGGGTGTAGCAAAGTTCTATTATTAGCACCACGCGGAAGGATGAGATGTGGCTCACCGTCAGCACTCTAAGTCTGCGACCGATGGATTGTCCAGGAAGAGGTGTTCCGGCGCAAGCTTTCAGTGTTAACATCTTCCAGGTTAAGCTCTGATGAAGCGGAAGATTGCACTGGCACGGCTAAGCATTACTTGGAGGTGTGTCTTGCGATAACGGACATGGTGAGTTGTGCAGGTTAAAGCACATCGTCCAGGCTGTCGTATCTGGCTCACGGGGACCATCCGTTGAGACTAGTAAGCTCCTATTCAATAATCGGAACCAGCTTCTACCAAAATGGGTTCCATTCATCCACAGCCTCCTAAGACCATGAAAGCAGGACAATGGAATCCCGTAAGCATATGGCTTTGGATAGTAAATGTAGAATATTCGCTGACATGCCCTACAGGAATTGCGAAAAGTTGTTGTAAACGAGATTCCCGTTCCAGAACCAGGCAAGAATGAGTTCCTTGTCAAAATCAGATCAGCATCATTGTGCCATTCCGACGTGCTGGCCATCCAACAAGCGGAGAAGACGGTAACGCTTGGTCATGAGGGTGTCGGTCACATCGTGTCGATGCATCCTTCAGCCGAAGAAAGGGGTTTCAGTCTTGGAGACGCTGTAGGGTTTCTGTACATCCGAGGTTGTTGCTTCACGTGCTCCGGATGCCAGGTTCACAACCTCCACTGCGAGACGGGCGAACAGCTTCTCCAGGGCTTTGTTGTCGATGGCTTTTTCGCAGAGTATGCGCTCGTGGACTACCACAACGCCATCGTTCTCGACGAAAGCAAGTGGGATATGGATGCTGCCTCAGCTGTGTTCTGTGCTGGCATCACCGCGTTCCACTCCGTCGACAGCTGCGAGCTTTCACCGGGAGACTGGTTCGGTGTAGTTGGCTGTGGTGGTCTTGGCCAACTTGCGACACAATACGCCAAAGCCATGGGACTGAAGGTTGTGGGCATCGACGTCGCCGACGCGAATCTCGAGGAGACTAGAAAGCAAGGCGCTGATGTTGTATTCAACTCCATGTCAAACTCGGAATGGGCCCAGGACATCAAGGAACTGACGGGTGGTGGCGTCCAAGCCGTTGCTGTGTACACCAATGCACCGCCCGCATTTGCTTCTGCTACCAGCTGTCTGGCCTTAGGAGGCACATTGATGATCATCGGTGTGTCGAAAGAGCCTATCAAGATTGACGGAATGGATCTTTTGCTGGGGAGATACAAGATTAAGGCGGATAGCACAAGTGTTCCTCAGCGCATGCAAAAGGCTGTCGAGTTCACGGCCAAGCATGGTATCATGCCCGTAGTGGAGATACGGGACGGGTTGGAAGATCTGGCGAGCATGGTGGAAGATATGGAGAAGGGAAAGGTCGCTAAGAGGCAAGGAATCGCCTTCAGATGATTTACCGATGGCTTTTCACGCGGGCTCTCTGAGTACACAGTGTGGAATTAACTCTCGTTTTGTATATATTGATAACATGACAGACTGATGATGAAAAATGACCGGAGCGACCGCTAGTTGTAAGTGATAAACTTCTCTCCGTACATGTCTGCGAACTCCTTGTACTTTTCCGTGTAAGACTGGTGTCTTTTTGCGACCTCCCCTGCCTTCTTCATCTCTTCTCTCCCCACTTGGTGTCTATGAGCTGCGTCTGGTCCATCAGCAACCCTCACGAAACGAGCATATGTCCACATCTCGGGAAGAGGGGTGTGCTGCGTGAGGCCCTGGCCGCCAAACATTTGCATGCACTCATCGATGATCTTAGTGGCCACGATAGGCACAAGGATCTTGCTCTGAGCGATAGCTCGCTTGCCCGCCTTGTTGCCGAGAAGATCCATGGTGTCGGCAGCGTTCAGGACAACCAAGCGGGCAGCGTCTAGCTCAAGACGCATTTGCGCAACGCGCTCAATGTTAGAATCGAACTCCCCAATGAGCTTACCGCGAGGCTTCTTGCGAGCATCATTGCATCGCATCAGCGCAAGTTCATAGGCACGCTCGCACTGTCCAATCAGACGCATGCAGTGATGAATACGACCTGGTCCGAGACGGCCTTGGGCAATCTCAAAGGCGCGGCCCTCGCCAAGGATGACATTTTCTGCCGGCACGCGTACATTTTCGTATAAGTATTCGCCGTGTCCCTCCGGAGCGTGATCATATCCCATGATCGTAAGGTTCCGAACTTGCGTGATGCCGGGCGTGTTGCATGGCACGATGATCATCGAGTGGCGGGACCACTTGATAGGGTTCTCCGGGTCGGTGCAGCCCATGAGGATGTAGAAAGATAGCTCTTTGTTCCAAAGGCAATTACCGTAGAGCTTTCTGCCGTTGATGACGTAGGAGTCTCCGTCACGCTTGATGCGGATTCCAATCTGTGTCGCATCTGAGCTGGCAACATCTGGTTCGGTCATGGAATAGGCGGAAGAGGCCGTGCCATCCAGAAGAGGTTGAAGCCACTTGTTCTTCTGCTCATCCTTGCAGTACTTAGCCAGAAGCTCGATGTTGCCCGTCTCGGGAGCGTGGCAATTCATGGTCTGGTAGAAAAGTGTCAGTGTAGTCCTGAATGAGCATAACTAGGTCGAGCCACGCGTACCTGCGCTGCCCAGTAACAGCGACCCATGATCTCTGCGCAACACGAGTATTCCAAGTTTGTCAATCCGGGACTTTCTTTGAAGTGGTTGGGCAGAAACAGGTTGAACAGGCCGCGATCCTTGGCTTTCGCCCGTAACTCATGTATCAACCGCGGCGTCGTCCACCGGCGACCCTCAAGCTGTGCCTTGAAAATTTCTTCTCTTGGGATGCACTCATTCTCAACCCACTCATAAACGGCCTCAATCTTTCCAATGGCCAGAGGAGAGAGTTTTGCTTTCACCCATGGCGGGAGATGATTGAAGGCTGGTCCATGCAGGGCTGCGTTGTCCATCTTCAGGGGCGACAAGATGGTGTTCTCGACTCAAGCGTCCAATGCAATTGAGGTTTCAGTGACCAAAACCAACAGGTCCCTAGATCTTCTAGAGTAAGCTCTTTTTGAGCAACTGCTGCTGTGAGAGTATAACCGGTAGCGGGAGTCTTGTTCCCTCGCCGTGTCGAACCGCGGCACGAGAGCTGGACCAACGCCCCCGGCACAAACACAGGGGGCACTATGGGGAACCACACAAACCGTTTCGCAGACACCAGCCGGGAATACGCTAATGATCCATTGGGGTACTTTCAGCCAAGAATGGGGTGCGATCTCCCTCTCCTGGTCATGTTTGGGGGTACCTTGACCTCGGTCTCCTGCGGCTCCCAAATGGAGGCTGCGGGGCTCGCGCGGGGTAGCCAAGGTATGCGCCGCCATGGCCCACGGGTAGGGAAATCAATCACTCCCATCAGGGTTTGCGAGGTTTGGGGACAGAGCTAATGGGTCGGGTGTGTTTGGCTGAGAGAGACCACAGACACTAGTACCTTATCTACAAGGCCCCCCCCCCCCCCCCCCCCCCCCCCCCCCCCCCCCCCCCCCCCCCCCCCCCCCCCCNCCCCCCCCCCCCCCCCCCGGGCCATCCTGCCATGTACGCCATTCCCATTGCCTCCAACGATCCATCCAGGAGCTTCCTACAACTAGTGGATGATCCTAGCCTTCTTGAACCTGTCCAGTGTGGTATACCAAGACTGCATTGTGTCAATCTCCTCCGTGCTGGAACCCCACATCTCATGACATTTGGAAAGGTCAAGCTGCCGATCGAAGTCGAGCATGGTCATGATGAAGCTTGCGAAGCCACCGAAGCTTCGGTCATTAGCAACGCGGCCGCTAACAAGACCGTGTCTCTGCTCCAGCGCTCTCCATTCGTCAATGTGGTCTGACAGATACTGCGTTGGTTGGGGGGCCTGTCCGTCCGCTGGAGGCGGCGTTCCCCTGAGGCCAAAGTACTCGCAGATGACTGGCCATTTCTTGCTCCATGATGAGGGCTGCGAACTGTCCGCAACATTGTATCGTTGCTCAGAGGTAAGTTCCGGATGAAGCGAAGCGTAGATGCACACTTTGGCAACGATGTCTTGGTTGCACTCGCTGCTCAAATTGTTCCAAGACTTCTCGCTTCCGGGGAACGGGCATTCAGCCCCTTTCCCATGAAGCTCCGCGAACAAATTGAGATACGTACCAACTGTCTGTGCAAGGCAGTAGATGTTGTTATTGGGCACGAAGCCAATGATATTGTCAGGTATGATTTCGCACCAAGTCCAGTCTTTCCCTTTGGCCATCTGCGACAGCATGTCGGTTTGGTCATAGTAGAACATTTGGGACGCGAAGGGCTCTGGGATCCGCGGCAGAGTCTCGTGTAGGGGGACGTCCTTGGGGAAGGGAAAATGATCCAGCAAGTGAACTCCGTAAGCTTTGGTGCCGGTCGGCAAGACAACAAATTTCAGGTAGGGGGAGAGTGCCTCGACAGCGCTGACAGCTCGTCTGATGAGCTCCTTGTTGATGTCGCACTCCTTCGCAGGGTCGGGGTCCATGATGTATGCTTTTAACACCGTCAGCACATGATGACCTACGGGAACTGAGAGATGGGTCTCTACCAAAGAAATAAACGTGGCTGATGCGACTGATGTTCTTGACTTTTGCCTTGAGATCGGCCTCGAGACCTTCCACGCCTTTCGGGGTCATGATATTAACGCCACTGGCGACCTGGAGCTGCGGCCTCTCAGGCTTAGGCCACAGGGCATCTCCAGTGTTCAGCGGTCGGTTTGTGAGAGCCGTGACGGAGGCAAAAGTGTCCTCGGTTGGGTAGCCATTGAGAAGCGCATTAGTGATAGACCATCCCGTGATCCCGCTTGCTCCTAGTTGTTCTCAGCACTGAACCTTTAAGACTATAGCTCGAATGTATTGCATACCGTAAATAAGGGCGTGATTTTCTGGCATTTTTGCAAGCTTAAGCTAAAGAAAAAACAGGCGAAGATATGATGTTGAATGAGAAACTAAATAAGTAATTAGCATGGAAAATTCTCAACGAACGACATGATGTTCACGCAGGATCATTGAATAAATGCATCATGCGCTCGGGTGGGGAAACAGACTGAGTCACTCTGGTGTACCTACGGGTATCAAAACGCAGAGAGGCAGCAGCTCCCTCCATTACCTACGCACTGTTGCTTGAGTATTGGCACAGGAGAAGGTCCAGACAGGCCACCCCCCTCAAATTCTTCCATCCTTTGGTCATGTAAGTCAGATTTCCAACAATGCTACTCTGACCGCAGGCACGTAATCAAGCCAGGCTTGGTTGAAACCCTTGGCGGGCGCAGCTCAAAAACCACCACCCGCCAGCGCCAGGTACAGCCTCGAACTTCATTCCCATAGACCATCGTGAACCTTGATGTTGGAAAACTCTTCTACAAGTCAAAGGGGCGCAAAGCTCCGAGCCGATGGAGATTGCGCCGGGCGTGCCTCCCGGCCAGGTACCCACTCATCCCGACTCAGTACGTACCGGATCCGGGCTGCCGCATCAGATGCATTCTGGAAAATCTTACCCAGCTCAGGTACCAGGGAGAAACTTGCCACACGACCCTTAGAACCAAACAAACGCAGCCCAATCGTTTGGTAGCCTCACGGGTGTCGTGCTCGGCCGTTCATCGATAGACGTGTCGCTCTGGGGGGAACACGAAACCACCAATTGCGTATCAGGCGCCGGCTACCTATCCGTAACCTTCGATGCGAGGCTCTACTCCTTGTAAGTCATGTATACGTATCGTATCCCGGCTGGCTGTCCCATCCACCCTGCGGCAGGAAATGCACATCCCGGACATGAATGCCACTGTGCCTGCTATGTGACGCCCGTTAAACGGTTAAGCTTGGACTGCTTCCGTCGGCCAAGATGAAATCTTCTGAAGATCAATACCCGCGCCGGATACTCACTTGCGCTTTTGAACGGACCCAAGACAACCGCAATGCGACTGCCGTTTTCCTGGTCACGCCAGGAGCCCGCCATTATCGCCTCAGAAGTTGCACTCGCTACTCAGCCTGCTTGGCCACAACTTCATATCTCCTACCAGGAGAGCGACGTCTCATTCTTGAAATCCAGTCTCTTAGCCGTATCGACTCCCCCAAATTCATACTCGTGGCTTCCAATCATCGTCTCTTCGTGCAGGATCTTTTTGGCACTCCGGCATCGATAGGCTGCAACAGAACACCATGGCTCCTTCAGCAGTGCCGACCGCTGCGAATGAAGAACCTGTGAATGAAAGCTTTGATGGGCATGGCAATGGACATACGAATGGAACCAATGGTCAAACCAAAGACAGCGCATCTGACTTCTCATACCCTCCCTCTATTCAGCCTGATGCCCCTTATCGAGTTTTGAAGCAGTACCACTCAAAGCCTACGAAGCTACGAGTGGCATGCATCGGGGCTGCCGTCTCAGGCATGTGCCTGGCTTACAAGATGGAGAAACAGATGGTGCCTGGCTCCTGGGAGTTGACGCTGTAAGCTTCATCCGGAAGATGTGGACGTTGCTGTTCTAACTCGCTATAGCTTCGATAAGAACCCGAGACTAGGCGGGACATGGCTCGAAAACACGTACGTTTCGCCGCTGGGTATCGACGCTACTGTGACTGACTCTCAATGGTAATAGATACCCTGGTGTCGCCTGTGACATACCGTCCCATCTCTACACGTTCTCATGGGACCCCAAGCCCGATTGGACTGAGTACTACGCCAGCGGGAAAGAGATCCTCGAGTATCTAGAGGATTTTGCCGATAGACATGGCTCTAGGAAGTACATGAAACTCAACACCAAAGTCGTCGAAGGTCGTTGGGATGAAGAGAAGGGGCTGTGGTGCCTGACGCTCGAGGATCAGATCACCAAGGGGACGTGGCAGGACTGGTGCCACGTGCTGGTAAACGGCAGTGGGATCTTGAACAACTGGAAATGGCCAGACATCGAGGGCCTGCATGACTTTGCTGGGCCCAAGATGCACTCTGCCAACTGGGATCACTCGGTCGACTTCAAGAACAAGAACGTCGGAGTAATAGGGACTGGTAGCACATCGGTCCAGATCGTTCCTGCGCTCCAGAAGATTTGCGACAAGGTCCAGGTGTTCATGCGCTCGTCCACTTGGATCTCGCCCCCATTCGGCGGCGGTGTTTTGGAATCGGAGCTGCGCAAGGACGGTGATCCAGGACACAGGCAGTACAAGTTCACCGAAGAAGACATCAAGAGGTTTCGGGAAGATCCGGAATATCACTTGATGTTCCGAAAGCGCATCGAGGCCGAGATCAATTCGTTGTTTGGCATGTACCAGCAAGGCTCGGAAATGTCGGACCTGATGAGAACCGTGATAACCGATGAGATGAACCGGCGCATTGGCGATGGGCCTGGGAGCGAGGAGTTGAAGAAGTTCATCATTCCTGACTGGGCACCTGGTTGCCGGCGAATCTCACCCGGCGACGGGTACCTCGAGGCCCTGGTCCAACCCAACGTCAAGCCCGTCTTTGGTAGAATCAGGAAGGTGGTCCCGGAAGGAATTGTCACGGACGACGGCGAGACGCACAAGATGGACGTGCTCGTGTGTGCGACCGGCTTCAAGGTTGCCTTCCGACCCGCATTCAAGCTGATCAACGGAAGCGGGCAAACACTTGACGAAGATTGGGGCGACAGCGTCAACCTTTACTTTGGCGTGTCTGCGCCGCGGTTTCCCAATTACTACACCATCGTGGTAGGTGGCAATGATGCGCTGCTGCATGCAGGTGTGGACTAACAACACCCACTAGGGCCCCGGTGCAACATGGTCATCAGGCACTCTCCTGCCGTCCATCGAGACAACCATTGAGTATTCAATCAAGATGATGAAGAAGATACAGCATGACAACATCCGATCAATCGATGTAAAGCAGGAGGCTGTAGACGACATCTATGGCCACTTTGACGAGTTCCACTCCAACACGGTCTTCCAAGAAGGATGCCGAAGCTGGTTCAAGGACGGCAAGAAGAAGAACCGCATTTACCTGTGGCCTGGCTGTGTAAGAAGAAGACTGGATCCGCGCCTCGCATGATTTGATGATGAAATGGGTACTGATTTCGGCGGCTCTAGACGATCCACTTCCTCAAGACAATCAAGGACCCTCGGTTCGAAGATTACAACATCCGATACCGGTACGGAAACCGGTTCGCCTTCCTCGGCAACGGTGAAGTGAAGGCGAACACGACCAAGGACGTGAAGGGGTTGAGCACATATGTGCGAGACGCCGATGACGATTGGACGGTTGAGTGAATGGACAGCTTGGGGAGCAGCATCCCGCCGGGCAGCCAGATGCGGGGGTGGGATATGACGATGCTGTCGTGTCTCGGCCAGATATTGCTCGAGAAGAAGCAGGAAACGTGGACGGGAAAGGGACAGAAGGTAGGTAGGTAGGTAGGAGTGGGTGCTGCATGTGGGGGCACATGTATCACAGCTGTGGCCTTGTGGCTTCACCTGAGCAGGAGTCAACCAGGCCAATGTGCAGCCTGATGAACACACACTTGTTTCAATATGATTGAATCACACAAGATGCATCTCGAGTGCTACAAGAGAACTTTCTCGTCAACTAAGAGGGGTGGAGCAAACTCACCTAGGTAGGTCGGTAGGCGGATGAGGTAAGGTAGTGAGTGGGTGACAGCACATATGCTGTAAGGCGAGAGACGGATACGAAAGCTGCTACGGAGTGCTTCAGACAGCGTAGTGTCTTGGCCGCCAACCTTTGAACGACGGACCCCTCAACTACCGGCATGTCATCGGGCGTGAAAGAGGACGGGCAGCAAATGGAGTGGTGGCTGCGAGGCAGCACTTCGGTTCAGTGATTGCGCACTGCTGGCGTCGGAGACTCAAGAGCTGGTTGCATGATGGATGGACGGGACAAAACCGCGAGGCGACGTGGAGGTAGGTACCTAAGGTACCTTATGTAGGTAAGGTATGTAGGTAAGGCAGGTAGTGAGTGTGGGCGGGGACGAGCGCCTCACAACACGCTTTGATTGGCTCAACAGCCAACGGTTGGGGTTCAGGGTCCACCTGAGTCAGGCCCTTGGAGGTCGCATCTCGCTCCTGATTCAACTGTCCGTGGTGGTCTGTGCTTCGGCACGACACTGCACGGTTGACCAAGTGGACTGGACCACACTCACCCACGCGTGGAGGAGATAGAACGGATTTGCGCCGGGTGGGCCACGTGTTTGATTGGCCCCGACGTCTCAGAACGAACCCCACTCCACGACCTTTGGCACCTTCACTACCTCACGATGTGAAGGTTGCCTTTTTCGACCTCAGCACCTCCGCTCGTTCGCTCTCAGCTCCCGCAGTCGTCAGTCGTCAACTCTTCTTCGACTCGCACGCCACAGCCTTCATCGAGAGTAACTAGGTGGTAATACAAGTCTGACTGACAGGGACCGGCTTTCAGCCAATCTATCCCAACCAACCAACTCAACTCCCTTCCCTTGGGCCACCTCACTCATCGAGGTGACGGCTGCCCCTCCCCCCTTCCCTCCCCCCCGTTGCTTAGAGAAAAGAGCCGGGGCAAAACCTCACTACCGCGGCCGTCTATCGGCAATCCTCCTCGTCTCATTTGCCCTTTTCCTTTCCACGATGCCCGTCAATACCTGCACTTCTCTAGTTCTGGAGGAACAGGTGGATCGAGCAACCACTTCCCCGCACTCAACCTGCCCTCCCTAGCCCTTCCAGACCTTTCCTCCTCTCATCCCCATGCAGCCATGTCCATTACCTTACCTAGGTAGTCTACACAGAACCATCCCCCTCTCCCTCATCTCGTTCGTATCCCCCGTACGACCGGTCCAGTATCATAGCGCCCTCATGATCCACTCATCCCCAGACCATCCGCAATGGGGGCCATGTCAAATTGGCCTTGCTCCTCGTTGAAATCCGGGGTAACAGCAAGGGTTGTTTCCGTTATTCGCGTCCCAGCCTCAATCCTCCAAACCCCACTCCAGCGACACTTTACAGAACCAACAATGCCTACGTAGTCAGGTCTAGGTCTGCTCCGAAAACCGAGTCTCATTGCGTTAGCCGGCCTGGGGTAGTGCCCGGAAGTCGGAGCCTCCCCGGTACCCTGTCTTCAAGGACATCAATCCAAGAAACACGCACCCCAGCCCGTCTGGAGAAGCAGCCTGTCTCATAATCTATTCTGGTTATGCAACTGCGTCTGCACCAGCCCCATCCCATCCCACTGCATCTTAGCTAGTTCGGGGTCCCCAGACTTTCCGACTGCTCTACTACCTACGCCGGCAACCCTCTCTTGGGATAAACAAGTGGAGCGAGCCATGGGGAGGGAGGAGGGGCCGCATGCGTGACGTTTCCACAGGTACCGCATGTTCGTCGTCACAGCGGGGGAAACCCGCCACGCCCAAACGTTCTTTTTATGCTGGACCTGAGCAACTCCTCTGCTCCTTTCGTTAGCTTTTTATTTCCACCTCCATACTGAATTTGTGTTTTTCTCTCTGCCGCCCGGCTTTCCAACTTGACGCCTGCTCACCTGTCCGTCTCTCACACCCTCTAAACCTGGCATCGATCGCATGTGACTGAACGAGTGGGCTCAAGTCCCCGCCGAGATCAAGCTGCGTGACCATGACAAGTCCGAAGGGAGAAGGAAAAACCTCCACGGAAGAGGCTGGCGTTGCTGCGCAAGAGAATGTCTCACAACGTACGCAGTCGTCCCGCCAGGCAAACAAGCAACAAGTGAGGCATCGGGCATCTGTTGCCTGTGCATCTTGCCGCGATAGGAGGATTAGATGCGTCGTGCCCAAGGGCGAGTCCGAGTGTGTGCAGTGCAAGAAAGCAGGGAATGAGTGTATAATCAAGAATGACGATGAGAGAAGAAGGTGCGCTCAACCATATATGACCACTGCCAGAATATCTTTGAACCTAACCCACGTCCATTAGGCCCATATCCAAAGCCTACATGTCTTCCTTGTCGGATCGCATCTCTATGCTGGAGGGAATGTTGCTGGAAAAGGGAGTCGCACCTCCTCCTGCCGCCCATCCCCCCAAGACGAGACACGAGGCTCAACCCAAGACCTCCGAAGAGGAGCGAAAGCATCATGGCACACAGCAGAAGGCTCGTGAGTCACCCGCAAGATCACCTCAAGCAGAAGTACCCTCCCCACCAGACTCAGGTAATGAGGACTACACGATGCAAGACAGTGACCGCGCAGATAGCGCTCATGCCGACGGACAAGTCTCTGCAAGCCAGATCTTCCAGCCGCTGCCAAAGGAGCAGTCTCCATTCCGGATGCTGGACCCAAAACAAGAAGACATTGTCCATCGCCTTCTCTCAACAAAAGGGAACCTCTCATTTGATCAACTGTCTGGGCGGCTACGTTTCTTCGGGCCCACTGCCAACTCACATGTCTACGCAGAGTCCTCAGATCAGTTTGATTTTCGTGAACCTCCAGAGCAAGTCCGACGAGCCGAGCGTATGATCAGGTCCATTACGGCAGAAACTCACGAGTATCTCATGGGCAATTTCTGGACTCATTATAATTCAGTGCTTAAAGTCATACACCAGGAGGCTTTCGATGCCGACAGGGAGTCGCAGAACCCAAAGTTCTACTCTTCGTTTCTTCACATTTGCATCCTTGCCATGGCGTTTCGTTTCGCAGACGCCGACAGAGATGACATGAAGAAAATTGCGTTGGGCGGTCGAGAGAGTACGCTGCATCGGGAGGCCAAATATATGCTCGATATCGAGCTCGAACGCCCCGGCGGCATCCCCAGCGTGCAAGCCCTCCTGCTCCTCGGCGATCTGGAATGCGGTGTCGGCAGGGACAACACCGGCTGGATGTATGCTGGTGAGTCAAACGCGATACATCTTGCCAGCACCATGGACTAATGTGCTATGAAGGTATGGCGAATCGTCTAGCATTCGACATCGGCCTTCATCTTGACTGTCGTAACACTGGGATCAATGAGCAGGAAGTTGACATTCGTCACATGGTCATGAGAGCATGTGTTATTTACGACAGATACTGGGCATTGTTTCTGGGTCGACCAACGAGTATCAAAAACCAGGATATCGGAATGGACTTGCTTTCGCGCCGCTTTTCTCAATTGACATCGTTGATGGGTGGGCCTGGCGCTGCTCACAAGAAGAATATCGCTGCTGAGGTTTACGACCAGCTGATAGAGTTGATGGAGCTTGCGGGACGGATCGTTGAGACTCGAGAAGTACGAAACAAACAGCGGGGAGATGGCACAGACAATGTATTCAACACCAACGAAGGCGAAGACAACGCATACTTGCACGCTATAAATCTCGACCGACAACTTCAAAATTGGTATAGGCGGCTTCCTGAGCATCTGCAATGGAAACCATCAGCTATCAAGAGCGCACCTTTCAGCTATTTCCTCTTACATCAACAGTACCACGTCTCCATGATCCTACTGCATCGTCCTTGGGCCAAATATGGAGCCATTGCTGGCGACGGCACCAGCACAGGATCGCATCCGAGCCCAGCATCCGCCTCCGAACCCAAAGATGTCCTCGACCAGCACCCCTTTTCTCTGCCCATTAACTCCCCGGGGATGGCAGATCCTCATGCTATGGTGGATGACAGCAGAACAGCGCTGTCACGCAGCATCTGCACGCAGCAGGCGATTCGTGTGGCACGCATTTTTTGGCAGCATCGCCAACGGTTCGACGGCCGCAAGATCTTCGTCACCGGGATTCAACATGCCGGTACAGCTGCGATCGCCTTGATAGCTGCGCTAGCCTACAATCACAGCGAATCCGATAGGCGCACTTATCTTGGGTATCTTGAAATTCTTTCGAGTGCCGTCAGCGATATGAGCCATGCGTACCAACCAGCATCCCGCATGGATGACCTTCTCAAGGCTGTTTTGGTCCAACTTCGAGCTGATATCAACGATTACAACGACGGGATCCAGCCACCAATTACCTTGTCGGGTAGTGATCAGAGCCTGCTATCCAGTTCAGGGTGGAGAGGAAATATGGATACAATTTACTCCATCTTGCCAGCAAGGCGTGAAGCGGACGCTGGCAGTAGCCAGTCTCACAAAAGGCGCCGTCCATCCACAACCAGCCGCAGGGCATCGGAGTTCACCCGTCCACCGCCGCCCTTTTTCCTTACCCAGTCAAATACAATAACATCTCGGGCTTCGAGCCATCGGTCGGCCGGTCAGCATCCCCCAATCGACCCAGCAATGTATTCATTGGGTAGCGGTGATATGCAAGGCTTCAATTTGGATTTCCTAAACGGCTCGGCGATTGAGGCTGACCTTGATGATGCCTCGGATGGCATGTTGAGACCATCTGAAGACTTCGTGCTCGTTTCTTCTCAATCAGATGGATGGACACTCGGCGGGTTGAACGCAGAGAACACGGCCCAACACGGCGAAGCTGCGTATGACGGGTCAGGTCTGGGCGAATGGGCTTCAGGAACAACTAGACCGAACGCAAGCTCCGCACTCGACGGCTCAGATGCCGTCTCATCGGCTGCACGTGACAACGGGCGGGGAGATAGCGGGGGGAAAAAGGGCGGCGCAGCCGTTCCGCGGGGGCTCTTGAGCGAGAAATTGAATCAAGGTTCATCTGTAAGTACAGGAGACGAGGCTGACAAGTCTCAACCTCTCAACTCCGTTGACTCCGGAAGCATGGATTGGATGGGCAGCGAAGGTGGGCTGAACGCGCTGAGTCCAGTCAGCTTGAGTGGATTGGTGCAGAGCGCAATGCCGGATAAAGGAGAAAGCGAGTCTTCTGCGGTCAACAGAAACCATGAGCTAGACTTCTTCAGTTTTTGATGCGACGGGCTCGTGCACGCTAGCAGTCTGGCGATGTTTACGTACGGGAACTACGAGTTGTATCTCGCAGACTACGGCTGGCTTGTTATTTCATCTGTTCTTCAACGGGTATGGACTTGAGAGGTCCGGCGTATCGAGGGGCTTTCCAGGGATTCGAATATAGGCAAGAAACGTGTTTTCTTACTCCATGAGAAACGTGATCTGAGTTCCGAGAGCTATTGGACCGTAAACCCTCCGTCGACCACCAGACCAGCGCCTTGCATGAAGCTGCTCATATCAGAAGCAAGAAATGTGATGCAGTCTGCTATTTCCTCGGATTTCGCCATGCGGCCCAAAGGTGTTCGGCTAATATCTCGGGCAAGGGGTGATTCGGCGTCCTGGGCCATTGTTTCAAGGACAAGCGGTGTTTCGACGTAGCTATTGGAACTCATTAGCGCCTGACCCAACAAACGACTCTTGGACCATTTAACCCTGGGCAGATTGCATTGATGCGGATTGCTTTTGGACCATATGTGTTGGCGTCAGCTTTCGTCAAGCCAAGCACTCCTGAGGGCACGCTGCATTAGTACCTTTGAAATATAGCATGGGAAAGAGCGCGACTCACCATGCTTTGCGGTTGTGTATGCTGTATGCGACATGAATCGAGACGGCGATATGATGCCAAACATGGATGCCACATTGATGATGGTACCACGACCTTGACGGGATCCCAGATCTCTGTCACAAACACCACAAATTTAGTATTGTCATTGGTATTCGAATCTGTAAGACTTACTCTTGGTTTAGCATGACGTTGATCTCTTCTTGCTGGCAACGCCACACGCCATGCAGGTCGACATCGAGAACTTTTGTAAACTCGGCTTCGTCGATCTCATGAGTGGCGCGCCCACTGCCTCCAATGCCGGCATTATTGACAGCAATGTCTATGCGGCCGAAGGCGCAAATGGTTGCGGCAATGCCAGACCTAATCTCAACGGCATTTTGCACGTTGAGGGATAAAGGGAGAAGCTTGACAGCAGGATAGCGGCGGCGGAGGATATCAGTGGTGACGCTGAGGGTCGCCTGGTTTATGTCCGCGAGGGCCAGGCGATTGATGCCGTGCTTTGCAAAGGCCAGTGCTGTGTGCTGGCCGATACCTATGGTGCTTATCAGTATGAAGTTGTTCGCTCTCAAGACACAATGATGGAGCTCGCTCACCAGAAGCAGCACCAGTGATGAAAGCGGTGCCGCGGAGAAGAGACGCCATTTCCAAGATGATTGTTCTGCTGACCGAACCTCATGCTGGAAGAGGCGCGTCCGAGACCGAGACGTCTTAAGAGCCACTGACACCTTCACAGGTGCTCACACCCGGTTGCTTGCTCCCCTCCCTTCAGACATCCTTATGGGTTGTTTGGAGCAACGAGACTGCACCAATCAGTTTCACGGCAGCTGAGCTGAGGTCGGATTCCTGAGCTGAGACAAAATCGCATCGGTGGATTTGTGATCCGGATGGGCTGCGGGGTGGGCAAAGCCATCGGGTGAGGATATCCGGAGATGGCCGGGCTCCGGGGCCCGGGACTTCGGCGCCGCAAAGTCATCGATTGTTGAAGCTATTTGTACGGTCCGTGGCATTGAACTGCGTGTCTCCTGGTCGAATTTCGCAAAACCCAAGTCAAACCACCACAAGGGATTTACATTGTCTAATGAGATGATTGAGGGTATAGATGGCACGGCTTATGCATCAACGGGGCGATACGAGGTGGTGTCACATCCTCTGGACTTTTCCATCGCGCTCTCCCCGTATCTGGAGCGACGAAAACAGCGTGTGCATGGGTACACAGCCAAGTTTCGAGCCGAAAATAATTGAAGTGAAGTAGAAAGAAAGAAGCTATCAGCAAAAAGGAGACATCTCTCCGGGCTGTGGGGAGGAGCCCCAGCTTCTTGCCGTGATAGAGTTTGTACTGTGCAGCTGCACTACGCCCGTCACCTCCCACCTGTGACCTCCCTGGACAGGCACAGCTGTGAGTGCAGGTTGCTGGACCAGCTCCCCGGAGCTCTCTGCCCGGTGGCCCACTATATGCGGGCACGTGGGGTAACGAGGTGCTGCACAGACAGTGTGAGGTCATACCCTCAGTCAACGGGCAAGCATGGGATGCCTTCGCCTTTCTTTGGCTTCACCATGCCATGCTCACCTTACCTAGGTACCTTACCGTGCCTCGCCCTGTCTGGTGTTTTGGCACTGTACTCGTGACACCTCGCCGACGACAACAACGACAGTAACAACAACCAAACCTGAACTGCGCTTCCACACACAACCACACACAATACCTACCTACGCATCCTTCGCATCTCCACCATTGTCGCCGTGCCCCTGTCCGCGTCCCTGACAACCAGCGCACCGACCAGATACCGACCGCGACGCCTTCACTCTCCTCCGCACCTGAATATTTCGAGTACTTCAACCTTGCGCCTTGCCTCCCCAGTCGGCCATGGTTTACGCCTTTTTGCTGGTCTGACGACCTAGTATGACAACCAACCTGACCGAGTCACAATGTCGCTTATACCATACCACCCGCGCGAGGGCCGCGAAATCGTTCTGTGAGTTCCTCTCCCGCCTTGGGCGGCATGTCTTTGCTGACGTCCGTGTTTAGCCGTCATCGCAATGCAATTGTAGTTCGCGACCCCTCGTCCCAGCGACTCGAGATTCGAGGCCTCTCCGAATGTCCTACATGCCGACAACCTTTGCGCTCCCCCTCCCCCGATCGTCAATTCGACAGTGCGCGCCACCACGATTCCTTCGTCGACCCCAACTACTTCCGCATGCTACGAGCCGGTCACCACAGTGTTCGAGCCGAACATCCACCTTCTAGCCCTATCCGCAGATTTGTGCAGCCTATTCTGGCGACTCCCCAACCCGCCGTTTTCGAGGACACACAAGATGTTGAGTTTATATCAAGCACACCCGCCGTCCAGGAAGGAAGTCGCATCCGCCGCGAAGCCTTCAGTCCGAATTACTTCAAAACCTTCTTCGTCGAAGAGAAAGAGCTTGGCCGAGGCGGAAAAGGAGTTGTCCTGCTCGTTCGTCATGAGATTGATGGCTGCCACCTAGGTACGATGTGTTGCTCGCGGAGAATCAAACATGACAGTCTAACTGCTCTTAGGCCACTTCGCATGTAAGCGTGTGCCAGTCGGAGACGATCATGCCTGGCTCGAAAAGGTGCTCATCGAGGTTGAGCTGCTTGCCAAACTGTCCCACCCAAACCTGGTTTCCTACCGCCACGTTTGGCTCGAGGACGTTACGTTGACGAGATTCGGCCCCAGCGTGGCATGCGCCTTTATTCTTCAACAGTATTGTAATGGTGGAGATCTGCTTCAATACATCATCGGCGAGCAGCCAAAAGAGACTACAAAAGAGCAACTCAAGGCTCAAATGCGCAGGAAGTCCAAAGGTCAACTCGAAATCCCACGCGATCAATTCGCCTCTCAACGGCTCCTTTCTTTCGAAGAAATCTTCTCTCTTTTCAAAGACATCACATCTGGACTCGCCTACCTTCATGCAGCCAACTACATACACAGGGACCTCAAGCCGAGTAACTGCCTGCTACATCGTGAGGGGAGTGGCATGATCTGCCTGATTAGTGACTTTGGCGAGGTTCAGTCCGAGCACATGGTTCGCAAGTCTACCGGCTCAACCGGAACCATCTCCTACTGTGCGCCGGAGGTCTTGAGGAGGGACTCTGTGGGACGCTACGGCAACTTTACAACAAAATCCGACATATTCTCTCTAGGAATGATTCTCTACTTCATGTGTTTTGGCCGGCTACCCTACCGTAGCGCCAACACTATCAACGAGGAGTTAGAAGACATTGACGCCCTGCGCGCTGAGATAACGGATTGGCAGGGCTTCCAAGATGAGCGCAGAGAGCGTCCTGACCTTCCCTCCAAGCTATACCAACTGCTCAAAAGGCTCGTTGCACTGGAGCCTTCTCAACGCCCAAGCGCCAACGAAGTCTTAGCAGCCATGAAGACCGAATCCACCGTTGATAGCGTCCCTCGAGGCAGAAGCTCAAGTCCGCCGGTGGGTCTTCACAACCGCCGCATTCAGAATCTCGATTCTCCGGTACCCCCTAGTACTCCTGTCCCAGGTTCGTCATTCACGGCATCATAGTGATCACGCTTTCTATCGAACTGACTTTGTCACAGATCCTCAAAAGCAGCCCAGATTCTCATCCTCACAGGAAGGCTATAACATTCCCAGCAGGGCTGCAGAAAATGGCTCCCCCCGTCCAAGCCTACAGACAGGTATGCAAAGGCTTTCGGATCCTAGCTCACCGCGGCATCGTCCCCAGGCCCAGACGATGGTGGCCTCGCGCAGCCAGGACAGCTTTCCTCGTCTGTCTCCGGAAATTGCTGTGTCCGAAGGAAGCGCCGAGTCTGTCAAAGATGAGCCGTTGGGTTCTCCACCGTTGCTGATGCCACCCCCTCCCGGCACAAGATTTGCCGCCTTTCAACACAGGCTAATGGTCGGATGGCTCCGAGCAGGTCATCTAATCCATCATAATGCTAGTCCTCTGCTGGTGGTCACTCGTCTTGGTCTCTTTCTCAGTAAACTTTACAGCCTCACGCGTCCTTGTTGGCCTTACATGGTGGACACAAGTGTAGGGGCGTTTCTGGTCGTAATTGCTGCGCTGGATCTCGGTCTCGCGAACACCGATACGTCGGGGGAGCTGAGATACCGGCAAGATTTCAGGATACACAATGGGCTGCCATGGGCTTGGGGTGTACGTGGCACCGTGCTCCTTGCGGTCATACACCTCGTCGTCCTGTGGGCTGTCGGCCACTGGAATGCTCTGTGCACAACAGGTGGCAGCCGCTCATGGGACGTCCACGACGACAACCTGTTGCCATAGAATATCCGCGCATATGCATTTCTCGGTGTTTGGGGGTTGAGGCGACGAGTCTGACATTCAGAAGCTCACAGTATATTCTGGCGCATGTTCCACTCAACATCAGGGCGCACATCTCGAATGGTTCGATAGCAGATATCTGTTTGCGATCTCATGTTACGGTGACAAGCGTCAACCACACGGGGCCCTTCAGCGAATCGGCACATTTGATAACGATTATGCTGATCACTAACAGAGGGTGTACCTATGGCTATCTTCCGAGTAGTCTGGCTAGCACGGTGGTGTTTCATTATGAGTTTAATTCGCTTTGGCGTTAGAGAGGCAATCAAAAGTGGATCAATTCTCGAGAACGATGCCAAATTGGTTTCTATAGGCGCTTTTAACGGACGTGGCATTTATGGACGGGCCGGCTCTAAGATGCATCGCACATGTCTCCCCGCCTTTGACCCCCATGTCGTTATGAGAGCTTCTAAGGCTCCACCAGTTCGACGGCAACGGCCGCATCGTACGAGGAGGTACTTTGGGCCGTTTGCCATTCACGATGTCAAAAGGCAGCAGCACACTGCCGGCGACCCATCCCGTGCCCAAGGCTTATGACTTTTATAGGGTAGGATGAACGAACGACAGTTCCTTCCGGGCCTCGGACCATGGACGCTTTACTCTTTTCAGCCCACCACAATCGAAGCTGCACTGGGTTGAGTTGTTAGGCCAGGTGACTTATCGCCCATGCCCCGGCGACAAATACCTTCACCGCCCCCAACATATACTTGATAGTGACAACATTCAAACACTTCGTCTCTCAGCCAAAGAAAGCATACAGCATAGGACAGTGAGACTCAGGATATCTCATAAATATAGGAGCACAACGCCCATGCCCTACCCTAGCAGCATTAATGTGTCTTCGCAAAGTCTTCATTCATCACCGGTGCGGCCACAAGATCACCGAGCTCCTGGAGCCGTGTGATGGCATCGACGGCTGTCCTGGCGTTGTAACCAAGCCCGTCATTACCAATCATTACACGTGCATCATACGGAGTTGCGTCTGGTACGGGCAGTTTTGAGGGTCTTTATCCGGGAAACATCTGCTAATGGTAAGTTTCGCGGCGATTTAACGATCTTGGGCCGTCCACCTGATGATGTGATAGAGACTATACCTGGGTGGTAATATCAAGTTTTCATGTGCCTGAGTTATTTTGTAAGGTAGTTGGGCCCCTGCATTAGCGGCCTGCGCTGGGAAGCCAGAAGACATTAGGAAAGGTGCCCATCTTGAAAGAGGGATGATTGTACAAGTCACTGATAGCGATTTGTTCAGTCACAACCAAGGTCTACGGTTTTTAATCATCTAATGTATCCTAAGCACCTGTCTAGTATTCTTCGGGGTATCAACACAGTTTAGACCATGGCGTTCAGGGGTATTGCCATTCAATGCTCCGGGTCTACTCCCAACACCTTCTGCTCCCTAAATCAAAATCAACAGTAAATCAGCGTCTTACATGTGAAAGGGCCAATGCTAGGCTATGTCTCTCTCGTGGAGAATCTGCCACTTGGTGTGACACGAGTTGATGTGCGCCGCCAACGACTGTGACGAATCATACGTCTCAGTCTTTCCGCTTGAAACACAAAGAATACACCCATAGACGTCCTTGTCGGAGTGCGACTTGGCAAGGAATCGGTTCGACATGCAGAACCCCTCCTTCAGCACAATAAAGTCTTTCTTCTCGGGCGGGATTGGCTTCCAACGGTAACCACACGTACAGTTCTTATCCTCTGGGACGGGCTTCGACAAGTCAACCTGAAGCACCATTGCCTTGGGGCAGAACATACTGAAAACGCTGACTTTGGGACGGAGGACTGCCGATGCATCACCACCACCACCAGCTTCTGAGGGCGCCAGCGTTGACGGAGCAAAGATGGATGCCGCATCGCTGACAATGAGCTTGGAGTCTGGCGGGGTCGGCGGAGGCGAAGGCGGCTCCGATTGGAGGCGGGGTTGATCGGTACAGATGGTCATCTTGTCGTCATCATCGTTGTTGGAATCGATAAAGCTTCCGGAGCGTCGGGACAACAAGCTACTTTGGCGCGACCGAGGCTTTGGGACGGGCAGGTGTTGAGGGATAGAGCGACCCACAGCCATGCGGCCGTAAAGGTCCGTTAGTGCCTTGACTGAGGCGATGCGGATAGCCTCGGATGTTTGAAGGATATCGGCGATATTCAGCGTAGCTGTCAAGCAGGTGGCGTCAACGGCCCGGCGCAAATGGGAAACGCGACTTTTGAGGTTGAACAACTGGTTGCAAAGAAGATCCGTACAAGTGACTGTGCAAATCTGACATTAGAGAAGTCCCTGGTTGTAGTCATGAGGACGATACACACCATCTCCTTTGGAGAAATCGGGCCCTACAATGGAGAAGGCAATATCAAACGTCTCTTTGATCTGTGTTTCGGCAGCGTCAAGAGATGTAGTCAATGCGCAGGTAACGACGCCTTTCTGCCCAGCGCGCCCCGTCCTCCGGTAATGGTTTTGCCGGGATCGTTTTCTTTTCCACAGCGTGTAGTGTTGCGCGCCCTCTGCGAAGAGGTCGGTCAAAGCAGACACGCATCCGATGACTGTGGAGGGTTCCATTTCGATTGTCACCTCGACAGCATGATGGAGGTGAGAGCTTTGGGCAGGTTATTGCAGCATACACAGCAGAGTGCGACACAAAGACGATGGAATCGAAAATGAGAAGAGTCCTTGAAGGCGAGAAGAGAAATGGGAGCGCGGGCCATGCCGGGGAGGAATGTCGGAGAGAGAACAGAAGGTGGCACAGCAGGCAAACAGGCAATATAAGCTGAAAATTGGGGGTTGAGCTGAGGAGGGCCGGTCTGGTCTGCGACTGCCACGCGCAGAGGGTGCAAACAAAGTGCTTATCTCCCGGAGAGGGGAAGAGGCGTCCACGACTCAAGGCAAGCTTTTGGATGATGGGGTCAGAAGCGAATTGTGTCTTGGTTGTATGAGAAGAATTGGCTTTGAGGAGGATGCGAGGTCAAGTCCCGGCTGGCTGATCGACAGCCGCTAGGCGCCCTAGTCCCTGGGTAGCAATGGGGAAGCCGGCTTGGGAGCTGGGGCTGGGGCTGGAGAGAAGACAAAGAGCACCTCATTTTGACGGGCAAAGGCAGCTCGACTGGGGGAAAAGTGTGGCGTTGGTTGGTGGACGCCAACGTGATGAGCGAACGCCAAACGGGCGCACGGGAAGTTGGGGGGCGGGTAGCCGACATGACATGATGCATGGCAAGGCAAGGCAAGGCAAGGCATGGCGTTGGGACGTGGGAGTGAGCAGGGACAAGGACAAGCGTTGCAGTCGGCTGTTGGTGAGAGTCATGTGTTCATGGACACCACCATCTCCGATTCCTCTTGCTGGCGAAGATGCTACTGACGATGATGGTGATGCAGCGGGCAGAAGATGGCCGATGGATGATGATGTTGTGTGCGAGGGCGAACGGCGGCTCGGTACCTCCTTGCTTACATTACCTTACCTAGGGTATTGGCTAGGTATTACCTACCTTAGTGATAGGGTCAGTTAATTAGGTGCCTACCTATCTAATAAGGTGCGAAGACGAACGCTGGAGACGAGAAGGGGCCGGACAGACGTAGGGCGGCTGAAGGATGGAAGGATTCCAGGGTTGTGGTTCACTAGCTGGACGTTTTCTGCGCTCCTGGACGCAAGGAGTCGAAGTCGCAGGTGTCACGGCGTTTCGTGTCATTTTCGAGGGAGTTGGGACAAACATGTGTCAAAAAATAGTGCCTGCAGAAGTTCGGACGGATCGATGACGGTGGCATCCGTGCTCCTGGGGATTGAAAGACAACCACACGTGGAAAAGACACCCCAATGTTCGAACAACAGAATGAGAAGTGAGGAGAAACCTGGTGGTGTTTTGTAAGGCTTTTGTTTTGTGCATCCGTACTCCGTACCTATCTAGGCACCTCCGTAGGTACCTAAGGCAGGGAGAAAGTAGAAACCATGATCCATGGAACTGATTTTGGCGAGTCTGGCGGGCGCTACGGCACGCTAGAGAGGCTCCACTAATGTCGATCCGCCAGCGCCGACGCCGAAGGTCGAGTTCCTAGGTAGGCAAAGCCAGCTGGCAACCCGTGTCGGGAGCACAGCACCTCACATCGTAGGTAGCTGCTCCCGTCAGCACCTCTCTCCATGCTGCGTTCCGTCCCCCAAAGTATCATACACCGACATGCCTCTTCCTCCGCGCAATCGTCAGGCCTGCGACAGATGCCACAGCCAAAAGCTACGATGTCCGAAGCAGGCCGGCTCTGCCGTCTGTGCCCGGTGCTCCAAGGCCAGCGTTGCTTGTGTCTACAGTCCTGCTGGTCCACGTCCGACAACTCAAGACTTCGCCATGCTGGAAGCCCCTCTCGTCGCTGAGACCTCAACTTTGGACTGGGAACCCTTCTCTTTTGACCAGCTCCTGACTTTTCAGCCAAAATCCCAATTCAACATCCCTCTCAGCGAAAACACTTGCGAAGCCCAACTTGATCCGAGAGCCCGATGCTTCGAAAAGTTGTCCGCCATGATGCTCAAGCTGAACGAAGCTTACAAAGGCCTGCCTCCAGTTTCGAAGCTACACGTTGCCGCTTCCGACTTGAACTTGTTCTGTACCCAAGTCAACGAATCGTACGGCTTACGCCGCTCACTCGAATTGATGCTTGGCCAAACCCAGCAGCTGATCGAATTATATCCCGAGGCTATTCGCTTGGCCGTCGCGTACGATGCAGCCCCTGAATGCATCCTTCCCAATTGTGTCCATACCTTCAAGTGTCATACTGATTTTGGACAAGATCCATTTGAGGCGGCCGACCGCCTGTCAAGCGTCGACTTCACCTTGCTTAACCAGCTAATCTCATGTCACTACCGCCTGCACGACATTACAGAACTCATATTCTCGCACGCTCAAGTATGCTTCAAAATATCTGCCGCCTCCGCAGAATACGACGGCGTTGAGAACCATCGATTCGATATACCCGAACTTCGCATCGGTTCCTTCACTCTTTCTCCTGGATCCTCGCCTTCTGTCATGTCCGCGATCCTGGTTGATCTTCAGTCCTCCCTAGCCCGCTGCGTCCCCAAGATTCAAGCCTCGTTAGAGGGAAGGGCCGGCAGAGAGTGCCAGGTACTGTCTTTGCAGTGCGACATGTTGAAAGAGCGTGCAGACTCCATTGTGGATCGCCTCACGAAACTCAGGGCCGCCGTCATCGAAGCCGGCATCATAACATGAAGCCTTCCATCACCTGCACAGCTCCTCGGAGATGCCCCAGAACCATCGAGGTTACTGGAGATACACCAAGAGAGCCTCACTGGCCCCAACGCTAAGGGTTACTTTACCCCCCGAGACCGCCGCTGTCTCGAATTTCTCCGTGCCGCCGGTAGTGCAAGTGCCGTTGTTGAAGTATTGGCCGCCGATCGACGCGTTCCCGCCTCGATCTTGTCTTGCTTCGGCGCTGGCCGCAGTAACCCGCTTGGACCGAACACTCGTCGCTGACAGCCCGCTGAGGACGAAAGATTCGACAGCTCGCGTGCCGGAACCGCTGTAATAGTTGGAGTTGTACAGAAGAACTCGAAGTGGCGCCCCCGCGGCGTCATAGGTGGCATACCCTGCAAAGGCAGACTTGCCATCATCCAAGGCGGCGACGTGCTTGGCCCCAGCCAGAAAAGCTGTTGCCGTGTATGCGCCGACATAGGGGTTGCCCATGGAGTATCTTCCAAAGAAGCTGTAGGGGTTATTGCCAATGGTTCCGTGATGGAAGTATACGCGGGAGACGTTTGACGTGGCCAGGCGCACCGCATAGTCCATCACCCACAAGGCAGCCCCAAACGTCGGGGACACGTTTGCCGCACCTCCTCCAGCGACTGTGCAAGGGTTAGCATGTTCAGTGATTCAATAAAGGGAAGGGCGTCATCTCACCCGAGTTGGTCTCTCCAAAGACATACGGCTTGTTTACCGCCAAGGCACTGGCGATATCGCGGTCGAATCTTACACCGTTCAGCATAAAGGCTTCGACGCAGTTGGGCACAGAAACTTACAAGTGGACATTGGTTGCAATGTTCGCGTGAGACATCAAGCTGGATACGGTGCCGCCGGGGTAGTTGTGGTGGGCATACGTCTTCACATACTCCCTCACCGTGGCATTTCCGCTGGCAATCAACTCTTCAGCCCCCCACGTGGGAGGAAGTGAGTTTGAGTTTCCGGCTTGGATGATATTCTTCTTGCCAATGGCATTTCCGACGATGATATCCCAATTGTTCTGCGACGCGGCGTCCACAGCAGGATTCCACGTGCCAGAAGCAATCGGCTGGACTCCCGACCAATCTGAGAAAAACTTTGTCAGTTTGATTAAGTATGGATCCCGGATTTTGAACTCACACTCAGGCTCATTTCCGAGTTCAATCGCATAGAGATTTTTCATCTCTGCGACGGCGACCTTGGCAGCTGCAATGGTGTTGTCGATGTTGTTCTTGCCTCTGTTCAGTCCCAGAGTCACGTCGCCACCGTATGTCGCAGCTAGCTTCATGAAATTCGGCCCGAAGGTCAGAGTTGCGGGCGCATCGTTCGGGCTCGCAACAGTGTACACAACATACGCTGACGAAGAGGCATCATAGGAGGCTCGGTCTTGGGTTGTCCCGCCGATCCGGATAGGTGGCCAGGCGCCGCTCAGCGTCTTGAAGTTGGTCAGACATTGGTTTGTTGCGGTGACGTTCTGGAAGTACGAGGGGAAGGCAAAGAACTCGAATCTGGACGGATATCAGCAAACTAGCATGGCGCAAAACTCAAGTGGACTGACGAGATTCCGACGGGTGCTGCTTCGAGAGGCGCATAAGAGAGGCCGCCGGTGTTCACCTTACTGGGCACAGTGAAAGTGGCGGCCGAAACGAGTTGCGCCGTTGACGCCAGAAAAGCGAGCGAGGGACCAGACAACATGGTTGGAGAGCTTATGAGCGCGACTGAGGGAGTTCCAGCGATGATTGCGCGATCATATGTCCGGCGTCACGATCAACGTCTTCGGGGCCGTTGGAGCTACTTATACTACTACTCTGATCTCAGCCAGCATGCAGATAAGCCATGCTACGAAGGATCTACCCATCATCAGGCCTTAATTTTTCCACCACATTAATGAGGTCTTTTCATGACAAGCACAATACTTGACGTGCCTCAGCCGATAGCCCTTGCATAAGCGCTGGCCTCCTGCCGGTCCGTCCCCCTCATTACAGAAAGATTGAGCTTGACTCGAACAACACGTCTTACGAGCATCTGGGCTCCGACACCCCCTATTGGAGCTTTTACCACATGCCGTTTTGCCGAGAGGTCAGGGTTCACGATGTCTGCCACGAGGGCGGCGAGGGGCGCAAGGCCACAAGCTTTCCCCGCACTTTAACCCGTCGACGTAAGCAATCAAGCTACTGTAGTGGGTTACATCGTGTGCTTCGCCACGGGCATCAGCCGAAAATGGAAGGATAGAAGTTCTTCACCTAGCCGCACCTGGCTGCGAAAAGCTATAGAGGTGACCAGTGTTCTAGCCCCCTTTCGACCTTGTTTGAACAGGATGAGAATGGGCTCCATATTCTGCTGAGTGTAACGCACAGATTCTATCAAGGGAGCTGGCAACAGGCGGGGTCTGATTTCTCGATATTGCACGTTGTATTGCCCTGGCTCGAGGACTCACAGATATCAAAAGTACAACAGTTATCACATCAGAGTTCGAATCTTGAATGTGAACCGATTGTCATCCAACTATGATTGATGTCTCTGTTACATACTTTGGCTAACTAGCCACTGTCTCTGAGTTCTGGGTGCTATTGGACGACTGGAGGACGCCAACATGCCCTTGGCAACAGTCGACATTCTTGATCCCTCTGGGAAGATCTGGAGGCTTTTCCCACGGCATGCCGCTCGCACTGCGACCTAACACACCAGTGGATCGCCTCCCGGGGATTTGTAGTTTTGCGGAACCGGGTAATAGATGTTCACGACGAGACCCGGGTCGTTGGGGCTATATGCACCAGGGAACGACATCAAGTTAGGCTTGTACGTGCCTGTGCCGCCGCTGACACGGAGCTGGGCGCACGAGATGTACAATTGAGCGCCACCGACGCTGCTAGCGCTATGCAGAGCAATATGCTCGACGCGGAGGAAATATTCGCCATCTGCAAGGCACCTGGGAATCTGGACGTTAAGCGTCGTTTTGCCTGGGGTATAAATGTCAACACGCGCGAGAGAGGCAGAACAAGAGATGAAGGTGCTTGCCTGAAGTGGGCCAGGTCAGTCCATTAGAAGTGACAGTCGGGCCGTCGTTGTAGATCTTGAACCACACTTTTCCGGAGCCATCGAAGTTTGTGATGGAACCAGAAGGCGCCTTGGCCATGTAGAAATTGACTGGTCCGGGATGGGAGACGGACGCCTTGGCGTTGTAGCCTTTGAAGAGCTGGTTGTCAGCGAGCTTGCCTCTGATCGTGAATGCCAATCTGAACGCACCAATCGTGGATCCTGCAGTCACATCCAGCAGCGTGGCACCCTCGTTACCTGGGGCTAGCTGGTAGCATGTCATCTGCTGGGAGGTCACGTCCGTGACCGGTCCATTGGACTGGTAATTCGTCGTCTTGCGGACGACTTCCCAATCTTGTGTGGTCTTGCCATTGTAAGTGACGGATAGAAATACATCTGAGAGGGTCAGTAAATAGCACAAGGTGCCCCAAAGATGATGGGAATGTCGTGCAGTGAGCAGAGGCAAGGCTGGCCAACGCCACAACCACCGACGAGGCCTTCATAGTGACGCTTAGGGGCTTTTGTTAATGGCTTCGAAAGAGGAGCAGCAGAAGATGGAAGATAATGCGCATCTGAATTGCGCAGGAGTTTCACCCGAATCCGTCACGAGATGCTGAACTTATACCTGTGAAGAGCTATAACGTAGATCCTGAACATAAGGGAGAAAGCACGGCATCTATATATCAAATGACCAGACCTAAAGCACACGTACCATGGTTGCGATGCTACCGGCGATAGAACAACCGGCGGGTAAAGTCGCTCATCCAGTCAACAGCGACCTGCATTATCATCCGAGGTATCCTAACAAATTGATCCAGCCGGCAGTGGCAATCTATATTGCAAATAACTGACTGGAGGTTGCGGGTAAGACGCATGGAGGCATGGGATTTGTTGAATTGGTTTTCGTGTAAACGACATTTGGTTTGGAAAATGATCCCGACGCCCGACAGTCAAGTGTGATGCAAACCATCTTGAAATTCGCGCTTCTTTCTTGCGCATGCCCTTTCTACGAGAACGCCGGATAATATACAAGTCCTGTGCCCCTCCTGTTGGCTAATGTAAAGCCAATCTGACTATGTAGCACCGGCCACCTTAACTCGTCACATATCTTGTGACGCCGTTTCATCAGTCATCGTCGGTGTATCTAGGCCCGCTGGCCGCCGGTGTCTCGGGCGCACCATACGCAGCAGGGGTAGGGGCGCCGTAATAGCCAGATGAGGAGGCGAAACCACTGGCCGCCGGAGTGGGAGCGCCGGCCGCTGGTGTAGGGGCCGAATCAGCAGCCCAGCCACCTTGCCATCCTCCACCAGGAGTCGGAGCACTCGCGGCCGCTGGGGTGGGTGCCGAGTAGGCACCCGGTGTGGGAGCATTAAGAGCACCGGGTGTGGGTGCACCCAGGAGATTTCCACCCGGCGTCGGCGCGTCGTAGCCAGAGTTGCCTGGGGTGTATCCCCATGAATCACTACCGCTGGCGCCGGGAGTGGGTGCAGAGCCTCCATAGGCAGGCGTCTTCGAACCTGAGCCCCAGGCATCGCTCCCGCCGTATGCTGGCGTCTTCGATCCCAATCCAAAAGCGTCGTGTGCAGGTGTCTTTGCGCCCGATTGCCATGCCGGAGTCCTTGAACCCCCGCCATACGCGGTTCTGTTACCATCGCCATAAGCAGTCCTTGAGCCGTCAGCCCAGGCGGGAGTGCGAGAGCCGGATCCGTAGTCCTGGCTGCTAGACTTCCAAGCGGGAGTTCTGCCGCCAGTCGGTGCAGGAGCTTGATTCATATTAGCAAAGTAATCATGATATCGCATGTTGGGCATTGACTCACTTCGTGAACCCCACGCGGGCGTCCTCTCCGCGCCGCTAGAGGCGACTGGTGTACGTCCTCCTTGCCAGTCTCCACCACGCCCACCTCCAGGGGCGCCGCCTTGACCCGGCCTTGGACCCCGTCCATTGATGTCGATCTTGGCACCGGTATTCTTGTCCTTGAAGCTAAGATGGTCCTTGGGCACCGTGATGGTCTTGCTCTTGGTGTGCAGCTCAACACGGGCGTGAGTTTCCGTGGCATCTTTGACGATACCCAAAAGACCCTTGTAGCCACCCTTCCGAATGATGACAGTTTGGTTGATAGAACGATCACGGCCGAAGGTCTTGGGAGGTGCCATCTTGCTCTCTGCGCCGCCAGGGTTGCGCTTCATTGCCGGGTTCATTTGATCCAAGTTGGGACCCGCTGAAAGCACGCGTCCACCCTTCGCAGCAATGGTTGTGACATTGCTAGCCTTGGTAACGAACACACCGGCATTCTCGTTATTGTTGTTGCTGTGCAAGAATACGTATGCGCGGTGGATGTGAATGATTTTGCCCTGGCGTTGTTGGGCGCCATACTCCCTGACAACATCATCGAGTCGGATCTCGGAGCCGTTTCTATCGGCAGCCACAGCAACCTTTCTCTTCGGGAGTTTGTTGGCAATTTGGGATGGCATGACCTGTCTGGTGTCTCCGTTTTGATCAAGTACAACCACTGACTCGCGATCGACCTTAACGATGCAGCCCACAGTGGTCGGGTCCAGCTGAACGAGGTCAAAGAGCTCATACTGACCCAACGCACCCTGGCCGCCAATATCGCTGGCTTCACGCAGATCTTTGCTGAAGACCGTGACCTCCGTGTTGGTTTGGTCGGTCAAGAAGGTTACTCGGTCTTCGGAAATCTTGACAACCATACCAACTTCGTCGCGGAATCGACTGCCGCTGGTAACCTTGACGTGATCTCCGATCTTAAATCTCTTTCTCAAGCCCTTGGTAGGGACCTCAATGACCTGACCTACGAGGTCTCCCTCCGTAACCTGCATCGTGACGATGTCGCCCTGGACGTTTGTTGCTTTTCCAACGACGCCCTTTTGCTCACCATCGTAGACTTCGATGACATCGCCGGGAAGGTAAGTGACGTTGATGTTGCTGTCCTTGAGGCTGGCAGCAAGGGCCTTGAGATCGAGATTTTCGGTACCATCCTCAGCGCCGGAAGCGAACCTAGTGACTTCCTCTAAAGTGGGATTGACGTCCGTGACAACTAGCTGCTGGATCTTGATATCCTTCACCTGGAAGCCGTTCTCAAACTCATCACCCATGTATGTCCAAACCTTGGTCGTCGGGTTTCCTTGAATATGCCTGGGGTGACGTTTTCGGGCCTCCGTCTCATTAAACAAACGCTGTGGCGGTCTTGGTCCAGGCACGCCAACGGGGCGCTTCCGTTTGCCATCAGAGGTCAGGGCAGCAAGGGCATCATCTCTCATGCCGTAGTCAAGACGCGGGATGAAGCGGACTCGGGCTTCAAGACCATTTTCGGTAACGTCAATGACTTGCGCCAGGTCGCCGGCGTGCTTGGCTGGCTTGCGAAGCCGGACCCAGGCACCGGGCTCGAGAGTGGGCGTCTTGGTCACACGGAGCAAGTCGGGCATGTCCTTGATGTCGACGAGAATCATCTTTGACCGAGGGTAGACGTTGAACATGCCGTCTAGCGCAACCATAATATCCGTTGAACGATTGGCCTCGACGTAGATGTAGCCTTTCATGACGGATGTTGGGCCGCCACGTTCGAAAGCCGAAATGATAGCCAACTCATCCTTGGTGCCCATCCGCTCATCGATACGCTTCATGATAGAGTAGACAACTTCTCGCTCCTTGCCCTCCTTGCACCTAACAGCCCAGATCGTAGGATCCTCCACACTAGGCATCAGGAGGCGCTTGGGGACAACAGTGGAATCGCCGAAGCCCTTGTTGGGGCGACGGTTACCGTAGCGCTGTCGAAGAATTTCGGCTTGCTTCTCAGCATCCATACTGGACTCCATCTCGCGTCGGCGATCCAGCTCGCGGTGCCTTCGGTCATCGTCGAGGCCTCCACTTTCGGCAATGTCGTCAGGATGAGCGTTGTCGATGAAGTCCTCTATCTCTTCACCGTCTTTCTCCTCATCCTCGCCATCTTCTTCGTCCTCGACCTCGGCCTCGATATCGAAGAAGACGGCGCGACGATCCCTGCGACGCTTGCGGCGATGTCCCTATAGAGTAAAGAAAACATTAGCAATGTATCAATCTGCGGAAGAAACGCAGAACAGGTCGGCCAGATGCTCGGAGCTTGACGTATCCCCCTATTAAAAGGAAAAAGGAAAGCGAACAGCGAAAGCGGAAGGCTTACCTGCTGGACATCATCCTCGTCTTCTTCATCCTCGTCGTCCTCTTCGTCATCGTCGTTTTGGCCACCCTCCTCATCGTCCTGCTCATCATCCTCATCGTCATCTACTCGTCGAGATTTGGGGGCAGCGGCGGCGTCGTCATCGTCAGCAGCAGGGCTGCTCTCTCGCGCATCGCTACCCGCATGTCGCTGACCAGAGTTGTGGCTAGGTTCGTCGTCAGAGAGATCGGCAGGCGCAGGGTTGAAGTCATCCTCGTCGTCCGAGTCATCGTATCGGTTGTGGTCGTTCGAAGCCATCTTGAAGGCAATTAGAAGAAGCGAACGTTGTTGGCCTCGAGTTTTTGGATGGCGACGTCAGGCGAAGACAGGTTTCGTTTGGCTCTGCTGGCGCAGAGTTGTAGAGAAGAGAAGGCCACTTCGAGGCTGGCAGTCTTCCAAAGGGTTCGCTTGTATTAAATGTTTGGACGTAAGAAAGGACAACCGAGGGGAAGCAGCCACCATACAGTCGACGGCTGGGTTGGGAAGGCAAAGGATTGAAAATAAAGTGTAGGACGAGTCGAGGACGCAAAGCTCAGCCATGGTTACCTTCACGCGAAGGAGGCCCAGGTTCCGTCTGAATACGGTTTAGCGTCAAAAGACACCTGAGGCAGGCCGGTTCTGGTTCAGGTCGCCTGTGCAGCGTGCTGCAGGCGACCAAGGCGCCCCACAAAGGTGGGAAGACGTGCTGAGGTTGGTACCTTAGGTAAGGCACCCGGGTACGTGTCTTAAATGAGCCCAGCTGAAAAGGCGCCGCGAGCAGCAAGGGATACCAGGGGAGATTTGCCGAACAACAGGTCGTTCTCCCAGGTACAGTCAGTCTAAGAGAGGTTGAGCCGGCCCAAGCCTCGGCCTCTTTATGTCCAGCAGCAGCGGGAATCTTTTAAACAGAAAAGCGATCTCCACGCGACGATGCTGCGTAAAACTTCTCAAGGCTCGAAGCTTCAATCACTGACGGCATCTACATGTTCACTGCCGGTTTTCGTTCAGTATCTTAGTGTGCTATTGCTCCCCGGATACTACTAGGTGGTTTTTATAGCAAGCCTGTCATGCCGCCAAGTTCAAACATGAAAGCGATAGTAATCAACGACTTTGTCAAGGTCAGTGGGTCGCCCACAATGATAGTAGACCAGACTGATCGAGTCCAGGACCTTGACGAGATCACGGTCGCCGAGGTCGAGAGACCTGTTCCCAAGTCGAACGAGGTGCTCGTCCAAGTGAAGGCTGCCGGCGTCAATTATGTGGATACGCTCTATGCATGTGCTTAGAACGCAACTTGGAGACTGTACCCATAGGCTAACGGGGCCGCGTGCAGGCGAAAGGCAAACATCAGAATAACCAATCTTTGGTCCGGCCACCATTCACATTGGGTCTTGAGTTCTCGGGAGTAATTGTCTCGGCACCGTCGGATTCGGGCTTCCGTCCTGGCGACAGAGTCTTTGGAGGGCACACTGGCTCATACAGCGAATTCATATGTCTTCCTCGTTCAGATTCTCTGCATCACATGCCAGCCATATGGACGTTTCCGCAGGCTGCTGGGTTGGCAGCGACGCTACCCGTCTCTTTTGCCGCACTTATGCAAGCCGGCATCAAAGCTGGCCAAACAGTTCTCGTACACGCTGCAGCAGGCGGTTTGGGCACCATGGCTGTCCAAATTGCTGCCGCTCTGGGTTGCCGTGTAATCGGTACAGCTGGGTCCCAAGCCAAATGCGCCGTGGCTACGCAGTGCGGAGCTCATGCTTGCGTAAACTACGTCGAACACACGGCATGGTGGGAGAAAGTACTAGAATTGACTGATGGCAAAGGAGCTGATATTGTTTTTGATCCCGTCGGCCTCGTTGACCCTAGCTTGAAATGCATCGCTCATCGGGGCAAAGTGTTGGTTGTTGGTTTTGCAGGTATACAAAACAACATGGAACGAGTAGCTATGAATCGTGTTCTTCTGAAGCAAGTCTCACTGATTGGCTACGTGGGTTCCCCCTTCCACTCAAGCATTGTCCGTTTGCTGATAGAGGCACGCAGCGGTATGGCGAAAGCTCTCGTCGGTATCCTCAGGAGCAAAAGACCACCTGGGATGAGCTCCAGCCGTTGATGGAAAGCGGGAGTATACAACCCGTGGTTTACGACACGCATTATCATGGGCTTGGCAGTGTACCTCGGGCGCTGAGAGACATGGTGGATCGGAAGATTTGGGGCAAAGCCGTCGTCACAATGGATGAGCCGCTGGGTGGTTCGCCACTGGCAAGGCTTTGAAGTCCGGAAGTGCTTTGCAACATTTTTTGTGCAGGAAAGACACCGCACGATGATTATAACATTTCAAATCCACCTCCTTCCTTTCCCCTATGCCCGCCGGTATATAGCCATCCGCCATTCCATGATTTTGTTTCTGACCACCAACCGAGAAGCCGTGCTGAGCCGGGGAGCAAGATTCTTCGTCCGCACTATGAGAAACCGTAAGGTACGAAGCTCCGACCACGGTAGCATTCCTCCCACAAGTGGCTCAGGGCCCATTCCCAAACGCCAGGCTTCGCGATGCATATACCACAATTGACCAGCCAGATCTATGAACAGGGTAGCAAGACGGCCAGATGACTACCACTCTTCGTCATCCCAATCTTCAGACGCCAGACCGTCCGCATGTCTTGACACCCCAAAGACCCCTGCCTGCGCTAACTCCCAACCACTCTCCTTGATCGCTGGAGAGATGCGGTACCCACGCTAGGTTGCCGACTTCGTAATCGCACTGCCAGCTAGCGAATGGGCTTCGTGTGCTATCGGGCTGGCCGGCGCCATTGGCAGCAGGACCGCCACCGAGGGAGTGGTTGTTGTTGTTGTAGACATCCCAGAGCAAGACTTGGCAGTCGTCTCCTCCGGAAGCCAGGACGCCTCGCTTTAAGGGCGACCATTCGATGCTGTTGAGCGCACCGCCGTGGCCGCGAAGTTCCAACAAGGCCTGTCCAGGATGGCGCACGTCCAGAATGCGAATAACGTTAGAGTCCTGCGCAAACGTAGCCAGCAAGTGAGTGTCGTGAGGCGACGTCGCCAGTCTCAGCAAAGGAGGAGGGTTCGACATGGTCTGCTGGGCCAGGGTAGGACTGATCCGACCGCCATTGGCATCTGTGAAATCGGGTCAGCAAGGGCGCGAGGTGACTCTGTAAGTCACACGACGTACCTCGGTCATCCTTGCCCGTGGGCTCGTAGATAATTGTGCTATGCTCTAGACTGCGCAAGTCGAACATGCGGACACTGCCGTCCTGTCCACAGCTCACGAACACATCCACACTATTGGCACAGAAGCGCACGTCATATACCTCCTTGTCATGAGCGATCAATTGCGTCTTCGCTGTCAATGAGGGGATATCCCAGATTGTGCAGGTCGTGTCTATGCTCGAAGTAATGATCAAGCTTGGGGAAACCGTGTTCCAGTCCAATGAGGTCAGCGGCGCAGTGTGGTCCGGAGTTTTGGAGTTGGAGAGAAGCGCCAAAGGGGTGAGCTTTGTGACACCGGGATCCCTGCCTTGTCGGTTGATCGAGTTGCTCTGGGACACAGGGCTTTCCGAGGGCAAAGACCACAATCGGAGGTGATCGCCGGACGTCGCAAGGAGATCGGTGGATTGCTTCTGCGAGGAGGGCGGTTCCCATAGAAGGCGGGTTACGGGGTACGAATGTGTGGCTTCGGCAACCTTTGAGAATTCGAGGTTGAACTTGGGAGTTCCGGGCTGGTAGACGTCGTTGGGGGTCGGCACCATTTGGGTATCGAGGATTTGAATCTACGATAAAAAAGTCAGCATACCTAGGCTGGCCAATGGGTTAAATCCGGGCCCTACAAAATTGTGTCCGTCCTCCAGATAGCTGCCGACGGCGAGCTTGCCAGCTCCGTTGCCCTGAGGCGGCCACTTGCACCAGTCAAAGGCATAAAGTGCCCAAGGAGCAAGATAGTTGCTCGTGCCGGGCTGGACATTGGCGAGATCGAAGGCGGTGCTGCCAGGCACGCCATCCGACATACCAGAGTCGGCACGGGGTCGAATATCAGCCAGGCCTAGCGGGGTGTTTGAAATGTTCCGCTGAGAGCCGGGAGCATTGTACTTTTGATCTGGCGGCGACATGAATTGGGAACCGGATCCGCTGGGGGTCGTGGGGGTGTAGGGCGCGAACGTTGCGGCGCCTTCGTAGTTGGCGGCGGGGGAGGAGCGCGAGTAACTATGAGAGAGACTCAAGCTGGGTTTGGAAGGGGTCTGGTAGTCTTGCGACTGCTGAGGCATTGTAGCCATGGCCGGGGCGGTGGTTGCGGTGATGGCGGGGGGACGGCCACCTGCACCGCCGGGTTGCAGTACGTTGGGCACCGACGATGTGCTCTGGAACTGGGGGGCGTTCGGAGAGGCCTGGTCCAACTTGATCTGGGGAGCGGCGGGGGCGGCGGAGGAGGACGAGTATTCGCGGGGCGATAGCTGGCCGTGCTGCATCATGCCAGCAGGCATATGCAGTTCGTCGTGCTGGGAGCCGTATGTGTTGGTTCGACGCGGGGTGGCCGAGGAAAACTGCTGTTGCTGTGGCTGCGGCGGCTGTTGCTGCTGCTGAGGTGTCGGTTGTTGTTGCTGGTTCATGGCCGCGACGGAGAAGGACGGCGCGTGGGAGGACGAGGAGAGATGAGTGACGGAGGGGGAAAGGCCCGGCGGCCCTGATGTCTCAGTCGCAGTGGGTTGGGCAGGCAGCGAATAGGTCGAATCGTGGTGATGATGGTGCAGCTGGTGGCCATGGACCGGATGCAGCGCGGCGGGAATGGAAGCAAGCTGCTGCTGCTGGGAATATGAATGAGAGCGGGAGTGGTAGGAAGGGGAGTGGGAGTAGGAATAGGGATAGGAGTGAGTGGGTGAATGCGAGAGGTCAGAAGAGTGCGAGTAGGAGTGGGAATGGCGAGGCTGGAGGGGACGGGAGGAAGCGGAGTCGGGAGCGGCAGCGGCAGCGGCGAGGGGAGAAGGAGGGGCGGCAACGGCGTTGGCGATGTTGAGGCCGCGGTCGTGGTGATTAAGGTGCTCGGCGTCGTCTTCGTAGTAGAAGTTGGCGACGGCGTGTTTCTTGGGCGCAAGGGGCCCGGTCGCAGTCGCAGTCGCAGGCGCGGCTCCTGAGGCGAATTGAGGAGATGAAGTTGGAGAAGGAGAGAGGATTATGGAAGGAGGACGATTGGGGTCGCGGTAGGGCGACAGATGCCGCTGATACTGGTGTTGTTGGTGCTGGTGCTGGTGGTGCTGGTGTTCGGGCTGCAGCTGGTACTGCAACCGCGGCGACTGCTGCTGTTGCTGGGAGTGGGATGACAAGGCACCAGAGGGCGAGGGTACCGGATTGGGCAGCGAATGGTGGAGGGAATCGGTGGCCGCCGTAGCGTCGTCCATGTCCATGCTGGCGCTGACGCTGGCCTGGCTGTGGCTCCGGCTATGGCTACGGCTCTGGTTCTGGCTTTGGCTGACGGCGTTGGCCGCAGCAGTGCTGCTGGCAGGGGCCCCAATGGAGCCTAAGGCCTGGGCCGCTTGCCAGAGCGCCGAAGTTGCGCTGAGCCGATGGGAATGTCGCTTGTGCTGCTGCTGTTGTTGTTGTTCCTCCTGCTTCTCCTTGTCGCCGACGCTCTGCTGCGACGCCGACCGGCGATGGCCCAGGAAATGCATACTTGCTGGTCAGGGCAAGTGGCCGTGATGTATGTACGTAGAGTACCCAAGGAAAGGTAAGGTATGCAGGTTGCGTGGAGCCTCCAGCACAGGGCAAAACGGACGAGAGCAGACCAAAAACGCCTGGTTGTCCAAGGAGCCCGGAATGACACGGCACGCGGCGAGGGACAGACCAGAGCAACACCAGCCGATGCCCTGTGTTCGAGTAAGTCAGGCAAGGTACCGTGCCTTAACTCGGCGCACAAGACACGAGGGTCCTGATGCTACGTACTTGGCTGTAAAGAGTCAAAGTACTCTGGATCAAGAGGAGCAAGAGAGTAATGAGACACGACGAACGGTGGTGATGTCTGGACGCTCCAGAACACACAAACTTTGTCTTGGCCTTCGTCCGCGCGCTCCGCGTCGTCACTGCAGAAAAAATCGCTTTTCTACGGCATCACTTCTGACTAATAAAACGGCCTCCCAGTTGACTTGCTGGCGCTGGACACGGAGACGGGGGCCTTGGACGGGACGGGGCAGATGAGATAGGGATGCGCGTTGTTGCGAATCGCTTGGGATGCCGCGTATGTGCTCTCCAATGTCTCGCACAACACTCATTGCGTGAAGCTGTCCCTTCTCCCCTTTTGTCTCCCTCCATGGAACTAACGGTCCAATGCCAATAACACTGCCAATGCTGCCAATTCCACATGGCCGCACCTGGTCCGTCCCTGGCTTTAACTTGCCTGGCCTGGTCTTGCCCAACATGTGCGCACAATGCCTTGCCTTACCTGACCTTCCGCTCCTCATCCACCAGCCGGGCCTTGCTTGAACCAAGTGCGACAAAACCTCTTCCTTGCTGGTGTGTTGGAATATCTGCGCGCCGCTACCTGACTGACTCTTCCTCTTGGGCCAGAACGTGAGGCTGGGCGAGACTCCTGCCGACCGGTGCCCAACCCGTAAAAAAAGAAAAAAAAAAAAGGAAAACACATGGTAAACAAGGAAGAGGTGCCTTCAAAACGTCACATTGAGGGCCCATCCCCAGCTAGTTAGACCGAGTGGAATGGAAGTTTGTGGGAAATAAAAGACTGGAGACCTCAGACCAGACCAGACACCCCGCGGTGCGTCTGCTGTGTTGGGTTGGACCAAGCAAAATAGTCGATAATACATTGGGCTTTGAGTAATGATGGACCTTACATAAGCCAATACTCCACCGACAGTTGTTCCAGTGAATCAACGCTTATGTACAAGTCACCTTTATAAGCTTATCGGATTCTTTTCCAATGGATGTTTCTTCCAGGTTGCGATAAGGAGCTAAGTCCAGTGACGTCTGTAAGCTGGAAAGAAAGGGTTGCCTCGTGCCGAACTGTGGCACATGATCGGAGATCGTGAGCTCGACACATTTACCTGCACTTGCTGGCTTTCGCAACAATCCCCTGCCGTAGCCCATAGCAGCCCGTGGATTCCCAAGCCGTGTCGGCCCATAGACTCTCCCATATCATCAACTTCGCTTCCGCGCCCGACAGCTTGCTTACTGGTACATCTTAGCTGTCATCATTCACAGTATTGCGCCATTCCACCCTATTTCTGCCGATTTCCCGCTCAGACAGCCCGATAGCCCTGTCGGCATCGTGCATGTGTCTTGATGGCCCCGGACTCCCCAAGATTCTTTGATCGGCTCTCGCTGAGCCGAAACAAATCGCCTCTCCTGCCGCTGCATATCTCTGCCGAAAGACGTGCAAACGACTACGATCTCGACGAACTGTCCCCACGACCGCACGACGCTCTGCTTCCAGAGTCGCCGCGAACACCCATAACGATGTCAAAACGCCGCTCTCCGTCTCCTGTGGACCCGTGGGATAATGATGTTTTGGACGAAGACCCCCTCAGTCCCGCTGGGTCTATCTCCAAACTGAAGCCCAGGGCTAAGGCCTTGTTCGCCGGTCCTCCACCGCCGATCGCCGCCTCGATTCTGGTTCAAAATCCACCGCAGGGCAGAAGAAGTTCTAGAGAAGGTCCCAAAGCCGGTCGCAGTAGTCATGCGGCTGGGGGCATGCCCCCGGGCCGAGTCAGTTTCGGGAGCATTCTGTTCGATCAGAGTTCGCGCGGTTCAAGCTCCTCGTCCAGAGGTGATTCAATATGGCGCAACCTACAACATCGGGAGCGAGCGTTGCAGAAGGAAGTGCAGCAATTGCTGGACATGCAGGCCACGGGACTAGCGCCTAGCAATGAGTCGACAGACACCTCTGCAACAGGTGGACAGGACGCCTGGAGTGACTCAGGGAGTAGCACGCCCACGGGGACATTCTATTCTACAGCATCATCAAAGTCACGGATGATGGCATCGCTTGATCCACCAGTGCGCGCGACCGCTCGTGGCGACATTATACCTGTTCGGCAACCGAAAACCTCGGGGCCTCAAGGCCTTCAGACCGCACGCAAAGGCCTGCGGCGTGCTTTAACGTACTTGACTGACTTGAAGTCCGAAGAGAACTCCTACATCGAATCCGCGCTGTTACAGCGCAAGAAAGCACTTTCGCATTTGGACAACCTTTGCAGTCGTAAAGAAAGCATCTCTGCAGAGCTTCGTAGTCTTGCAGACAATGAGGAAGAGCCGCTGGGCAAAGAGCTTCGAGACCTAGGCGACCAGCATGAATCCTTGGGCCAGGAGATTCGTGAGTTAGAGGAGAAGCTCGTTGGCATGAGAAACAGGCATCGATGGCTCGAACGTAAAATGGCGGATGTCCGCAATCGCCGAGAGGCCGGCTTGAGCGGGTACAGAGGTGCGCTGAAGGAAGTCGAGGCCGAGGTTGCGTCTTTACTCCACTGGCCCCCCATTGAGCCTCTCGATCCCGACGTAGTCGAGGCTGTATCACGTACTGGCCCTGGATCATCTTACGGGGTAAACGATTTGCCTGGGGGCGCTGATTTCTTCCGCATGATACCCGCCCGGCGTACGCTTAGCATGGCAAAAGACTGGTGGGAAAGTGAGGTCGACTTTTTGGAGCGGCGGAAGGCCCAGGTTGACAAGGATCGTGAGGCACTCGACCAGGGCACGGCATTGTGGCAGGAAACCGTCGACCTAATCGCCACGTTCGAGGCCGACCTGCGGAAGTCACTAAGCAGCGGCGTGAATGAGAAGGGCAAACAGACCCCGCGGATGCAGGAAGAGGCCGTTCAGTCGATGCTACCCAGGATGGGCAAGGTGATCCTGGAGCTCGAGGAACATATGCGGACTGCGGAGGAGAACAGCTGGAACCTCCTGATATGCGCCATCGGCGCTGAGCTCGAGGCGTTTAGAGAAGCTGAGCGCTTGCTTCGTAGCAGCCTCCCACAACCCAGGGCGGAGGTTGGTAATGTCGAGGAACCCTGGCCAAATGGTGAAGAGCAACAAGAACGCAACGAGAAGGATGCAGATGCGGTCGAGACGAGTTCCGTTGGTAGCCACCACGACGAGAGTGACAATGAAGTACCGCCTGATTTGCTCGTATCGCACCTTGAAGAGCATGACGACGCACAACCACACGCCAAGCCCATTGGAGCTTCCTCGAGACGAGACAGCGACAACGAAGTGCCGCCAGAGTTCTTGGCTGAGCACAGTCTGTAGAATGTCTTGCTGACCGGATTGAGGGAGCGCTGATGGATCACATTCGAGCGACTTGCGGTTACTGGTCGAGAGCACACGGCATGGATGATGAGTTGCGGGGAGGACCCCTAACCAGGTACGACAGCATTGGATTACCTACATTATGGCAAACGGCATTGGATAGGACAGGGCAAGTAGGACAGGATACCCCACGAATAGTCAGTTTGAACGGCGTTGGTCGGAATGCCTAGGAATCGATTTGCATCAAAGCCCACAGTTCGCCCGTTCCCATGTGCTCCCCGTCACGAGGCAATTTAGGTAAAGTCGCGGGTACGTACAAGTGAGCTGCAACTGTGGCGCATTGGATTGGTTGGTAACCTCGGCTATATGTGTGTTTTGCGACGAGGACGATCCCGAAAGTGGGGTCTATAGGTCCGGTGGTAAGGATACACGGGTGAGCCTGCGCCAGAGGCTTTTATAAAGAAAAGCTGGGCGACGAGAACGCCGTCTCGTCCACCATGCCCAACGACATTTGATGGCCCCCGCAGCACGATTCCAGGATCGCACGTAACATCTTCGGGGAGCAGCGTTTTGTCCGAAATCGAGAACACCGACCGAGTGCCCGCCGAGGCGCCACGCCCCGACCACCCGACCCTTACCGAGCGTTCACCCAAGTGCCGATTCCCCCACGCAGCCGCCGAGCATTGCCGCGCCAATATTTGCAAGAAAAATGGCCGAATAGACGAGGAAATTGAAATGGTCGTTGGAATAATCGTCGCGCCGTCGAAATTCGTGAAAGGTGGAAGGAGGAGGAACAGTCATCGTCGTCCGTCTACCGCGTACGCTCAAACCATCCGCTGGAGCCGGCGATCGCAACCGACTGGTCCATCACCCATTCGCCGACACCGAGATACTTGTCAATCCACTTCGACATGTCCTTGTTCTCGCCCGCGGCTCTGTCAGTCTTGAAACTGGGTCTGACGATTCCCAGAATGGGCACTTGTCAGCTGCCACGCATTCTCTTGACGCAGACTCGCACCTGCGGGTGACAGTTTTGTCCTGTCCGGATCGGATCGATACTCACGTAAGGCCTGTCGAGCGCTTCATGCCAGCGAGGAAGGCGGAAACTGTAGGTAAAAGCATCAGCCGGTTGTCGTCCGACGGATCGGGGCGGTAAGAGAGGAGGGGGAACCAACTGAGAACCGCATCGAATGCGTAGTGAGTCAGACGCCCAAACTTCGACCACAGCCCCAGAGTCAGCAAGTTGAGGAGCTATACGGAGGTTAAGACTGCGCAAGCAAGTCGAAGACGAGGCAGCGAGCGAGCACGCACGAGGAGGACTCGCCGCGCGGCCGGGAACGGGGGAAGGAGGTGGTACCAACCATCTCGAAGATTCAGGTTTGTTGTTTCTGTTTCTTTTTTTTTTTTTTTTTGGCGTTGTCAGTTGAGGAGTGTGCGTGTTTCTGGTCTCCCTTGCGTTTTGGGTTTTGTTGGTGTCGAAGAGGCGGTATCGTCGCTTGGGTTTTGGAGACAAAGGGTGTTGTCATGGGACAAGGCTCGTCTGGCACACCACCAGGGTGGACACTTTTCGCACCTGAGAGGACCCCACGGGAGGAGGCTGGGCTGGCGGCGACTGGCGCAGCGAGTGCTGTGCCTGGCCTGAGGTGGTCGGTGAGCGGTGCAGAGCTCGCGTGGACTGTGCGCTACTGCATCCGCTTAGGTACCTGGCAGGCCTCAGGCTGCCGGGCCGCCGCCGAAGGTGGGCCGTTCATGTTCATCGTGGCACCGTCGAGCGAGGTGTCTGCGGCGATAAGGAGCGCGCGACTTTGGGAGAAGTCCCTCTCTGAGACGGCCAAGTACCTCAGTGTACGTACCTGGAGACAGAGCTCACGTTTCAGTGGAACCAAGCTTGTCGAAGGTCACGTGGCCCTGGAATCGGCTCCAAGTGGGGTCGGTTTGCTCTCATCGGTTACCCGACGAATTCTGTTTATCGCATATTTCTCGCTTCGAGTCTTTTCGACGGTTTTTCCCTCTTTAGCCCCCTCAACGGTCTGCCCGTACGTAGGCTCCCCTGCCTAAGGTAGACGGCCGATAAGCGGCGGCGCAGGACGCGACTCGGGGCACAATACCGTTATCGGGACAATTTGATTCGCGTCACGATGAAGACGGCAATGGGATTGGGCCATTCGGTGCGGACCTTGCACCTCGTGCCTTGGGTCTTGAAGGACTTTTCCTCCTCCGCGGTTCAGATTCAGTGCCCCGTCGATTCTGGAGGGCCGGAGCTGCCAATTATCTTTTTGACGAGGGCATTGGACACTCCGCGGACAGGCCAGGAAGCACCCCAAGTGGACCAGGGGACCTCTCCACTGCGACGCTTTCCCTTTTTTTAGCTGGTGGGGAGCCCTGCTGGAGAGCCAAGGTACCCAGCAATGGAGGGGCTTGGAGGGGTCGGGCTGGCGCTGCCGCACCCGTTGGAAATAGCTGTGTGTCAAAAGCATGAGCTCTGGTTTGTTGAGTGTTTGAGGCTTTATGGCCCAGCGCCCAGCCAAGATCGCCCAAGGAAACGGAGCTCCGTCGCAGAGTAGGAGAAGGGACAGCAGAGATTGGACACTGCCAGGAACTCGAGGACTTGGGCAGAGGCAGAGAGGACGCAACCCGGACCAAATGGCCGGAGGCGAGCGAGGGATGGGACTGTTGAAGGGGAACTTGGGAAGGGAAGGTGGGAAGAAGAAAAAAAAAACACGAAAGAAAGGCCGAAACTAACAATGCCATTGAAATCCCTCACATCCCATCCTGTCCATGCTCCCCGTTCCGCTATCCCCGCCGGTGTCTTCTACTACCTCCCTCCTCCCATTATTACTTTTCGCGGGGTTCCCTCTCTTGCAGTCTTCTTTCCATCTTTTATTTTTGTTTTCCGCCGCACTGCTTCTGAATCACTTCACGTTGGACAGCATCACGCTCGAGCGTCGACGAGAGAATAAATAGCTTGGCTCAGGTAAGTGGAACAAGTCGCATCAACACCAGCACCAGCACTGCATCCCACGTCTACACCCCTGCCCGTCTTGTTTCTGCGTCTGGTCCTGTTTCTGTTTTCTCTCCCACTCCCGCCTGGCACTATCACTGGCCTGACCTCACCTTACCTCACCTTGGGTCTCGCGTCACCCTGTTCCGGCTGGGCATTCTATTTACGTGTACTGCCGGGTTTGCGCCGGTGTGTAACGTACACAGGACGTGCGTGCCGAGCAGTGGGAAGACCAGAGAAAAAAGGTGAGGTGAGGCGGGAAAAGGGCAAGTGCACATACCTTACCAGAAGATGGGCATGAACAGGGTCCCCAGGGAAAGGTGAGGTGAGAAAGGGACGGGGGTGCTGTCACAGCACCTCATGTTGGTGGGGCTCCCCGGTGGTGCTGGGTGCCCGGCGCTGCCAAAGCTGCTGGGTTCTGTCAGCAACGTTGGCTGATTGCTGCCACTGCGTTGAATTGAGGGGCAGTTTTCCCACCCGACCCCAAAAAGTCAATGGAAGCCAACGAGGGGCAGCAGCACCGCACCCAGGTCCAGCGCCAGCCAGCGCTACCGGGAAAGCGCCGACGCCGACCACCACCGCCGCAGCAGCAGCAATCTTCAGACGGACAGCAAGCAGCTTCTTCACTCGGTCTGGACCAAGCAGCAAATTATTTCTCTTGCTCCCACCTCGCGTGTCTTGTCTGCCTGCCCTGTCCTGACGTCTGTTGTCTCTGCTCTGTCTTCCCCCCCCGTCCTTCAACAAATACCCATCTTGGTTGAGGCTCCCTGTCTGCATAAATCCTGTACTTTAGGGTCTCACCCATCCATCAGCCATCTAGATTTTTTATTTTATTTTTTATCTCTCACTGTCCTCCCACTCCCACTCTCCTCACATCATCCCTCTTCCTCCTCCAACCCTCCACTGCCTGTCGATCAAGCAGGATCTAATAGCTGCCGCAGACCAGAGATTGTCACGACGCCAGCTTAACCACCTCTCCCTTCGAAATCGATACCCCGCCGCCAAATCTTCACAATGGCTGCTACTGCTCAGGATCACCTTGATGTCGGCGGCAAGATCGCCTGGCTGTCCAGCCTCGACACTGCCTACCAGCCCGAGAAGAACTACCGCCGCTCTTCCATCATCTGCACCATCGGCCCCAAGACCAACTCCGTCGAGGCCATCAACGCGCTGCGCAAGTCCGGTCTGAACGTCGTGCGCATGAACTTCTCCGTGAGCCATCCCGCTGCCTCTCCCTGTTTGACAGCAATCGGCTAACATGTTATCCACCAACAGCACGGCAGCTACGAGTACCACCAGTCCGTCATTGACAATGCCCGCGCCGCCGAGAAGGCCCAGCCCGGCCGTCAGGTCGCCATCGCCCTCGACACTAAGGGCCCGGAGATCCGCACCGGCAACACCAAGGACGACGCTGATATCCCCATCTCCGCCGGCAAGATCATGAACTTCACCACCGACGACCAGTACGCCACTGCTTGCGATACCGAGAACATGTACGTAATATCCCTGCCTCAAGACGAACTTTTTCTCGGCCTCTAACCCTTCTGCGCAGGTACGTTGACTACAAGAACATCACCAAGGTCATCGAGCCCGGCCGTATCATCTACGTTGACGACGGTGTCCTGGCTTTTGATGTCATTAAGGTCGTCGATGACAAAACCGTCCAGGTCCGCGCCCGCAACAACGGCTTCATCTCCTCCAAGAAGGGTGTCAACCTGCCCAACACCGATGTCGATCTTCCCGCTCTCTCCGAGAAGGACAAGAACGACCTGAGGTTTGGTGTCAAGAACAACGTCGACATGGTCTTCGCCTCATTTATCCGCCGCGGCCAGGACATCACGGACATTCGTGACGTCCTTGGCGAGGAGGGCAAGCACATCCAGATCATTGCCAAGATCGAGAACCGTCAGGGTCTCAACAACTTCGAGGAGATCCTCCAAGAGACCGACGGTGTCATGGTCGCCCGTGGCGATCTCGGTATCGAGATCCCCGCCGCCGAGGTCTTCGCCGCCCAGAAGAAGATGATTGCTCTGTGCAACAGGGCCGGCAAGCCCGTCATCTGTGCCACCCAGATGCTCGAGTCCATGATCAAGAATCCTCGCCCTACCCGTGCCGAGATTAGCGATGTTGGCAACGCCATCACTGACGGTGCCGACTGCGTCATGTTGTCTGGCGAGACCGCCAAGGGTAGCTACCCCAACGAAGCCGTTTCCGAGATGCACGAGGCTTGCCTCAAGGCTGAGAACACGATCCCCTACGTTTCGCACTTCGAGGAGATGTGCACTCTGGTCAAGCGTCCCGTCAGCGTCGTCGAGTCTTGCGCCATGGCTGCTGTCAGGACTTCTCTCGACCTGAACGCCGGTGGTATCATCGTCCTGTCCACCTCTGGTGACTCCGCTCGCCTTCTCTCCAAGTACCGCCCTGTCTGCCCTATCTTCATGGTCACAAGAAACCCCTCTGCTTCCCGCTACGCTCACTTGTACCGTGGCGTCTACCCCTTCCTGTTCCCCGAGGCCAAGCCCGACTTCAGCAAGGTCAACTGGCAGGAGGATGTCGACCGCCGCATTAAGTGGGCCGTCGAGAACGCTCTGGAGCTTAACATCGTCAGCAAGGGCGACACCGTTGTCGTTGTCCAGGGCTGGAAGGGCGGCATGGGCAACACCAACACCATCCGGATTGTCAAGGCCGACCCTGAGCACCTGGGTCTCGGTATGTTGAACTAAATTGCATGTGAGGGAAATAGAAAATGCTGTTGGCGTATGGGAGGAATCAAAGTACCTAGTTAAATCCTGATAGACGATGGTGGGCCACGATGCCCTTTGACGCGAGTATGAATTACACAAATGAACAAAGCAGATATCACCTTCCAATCGTCCGATTTATATTCACATCTTGATCCCAACTACAGCATCCAGTCTTGACTGAGTTGCGGAGCAGTCCGAGTCGCGAAGAAGGGACGAACTCACATGGGTGCTCTGTCCGAGTCTGACGTATAGATGCGGAGACCAGTGAAGAACGGCCTTTGACCATTCTATCTCCACGTGCAATGCACGTCTGTCGAAGCTATCTACCATTTCCTCAGATTTATAAGTTCTTCACCTCGAAGTTTTTCCGAAGATATTCGCCATACTTTATGATCAGGAACGGCACGGGCACTAAAGCTGCCGCAATGAAGCCAAGAACACTGTTCCCCCAACCCACGCCCAAATCCTCATACATCTTCAGGCCAGCAAGAGGCAAAACGGCGCCAGCCACGGACCGAACGACTGCATTCGCTGCCAGCGCGGAAGCCGCATAGATGGTAAACGAGTCAACCAGATAAAGCTGCAACGCCATGAAAATGATGAGGTTGCCAACGCCAAT